GTAACCGTCTGTGGCGGTGACAAACGGCATCCAAACGAAACCCGTTCAGCCACCTCTGCAACGGGCGAAGCGAAAGCAGCCCGAGTGGAACCACACGAGAGATCGAGGCCAGCTTCCCCACCAGCTGTAGAAAGCTGACGTAACTGTGCAGGGTGCCAAGACCGAAACGGGACACCACACCGTGGATGTCGACCAGGCGGCGCACCGACGGACGCGCCGTCATAGTCACCGTGTTCAGACTCAAGCCAAGAAAAACAGCGGCCTGCGAAGGCACCAGGCTGCTCTTTTCGAAATTGACCCTGAAACCCAAGCGGGCGACATGAGTCAGAAGGCGCTCCGTATCTTCCAAGGACCGTGCCCTGGACGGGGCGCAGATCAGCCAATCGTCCAGATAAGGCCCCGACTCCACCGGGCGCGAAAAACGGACAACGGATCCGTCCAAACATGTCCGTTTCATCTCTGTCTCCGTTATCTCCATGAGGGTGAATGGAAGTGGCTCCACTGCCTCCGCATGCGTCCGTCCAACGCACGTCGGACGTATTCCGTCAACAGGGGGTGCAACGGACGCGGACGGACGAAATAGAAACAATCCTATTTGTTCCGTCCGTCGACGCGTGTCGGGTCCGTTTTCCATTGAAAATACAATGGAATAATATATTTACAACATTGTTAAACATGTATTGATATATGCTGTAGTCCTTGGTTAGAAATATTTGTTAATGACAATGATTATTAACAAACGTGTGTAATGTTTTTCATGTATTAATTGAAATAATTGTTTCATGATCGTAAATCTACCATTTATTTTTCGCGTAATGTTAATACACTAAACTTTACATACACCTCGCTCTTTTTTCTCTCGCTCTATCCCGTCTACCTGCGAGGCGCTCTCTCCTCACCGCCGCGCGCTCCCACACACACACACACACACTCACACTCACACTCACACAGAGCTGCACTTATGAGAGACAGATCTCACAACACTGGATATGTTGGAGTTCTTTTTTCTTTCCTCTTTCCCCTTTTTCCAATTGCTTTCAATAAGTTTTGCCTCATCCATCGCGACGTCCTCAATGCTTCAATATGCCGTGCTTTGCATTGATCATAGCCACAGCTCATGCACATCACACACCGCTTCTTCTATTTAAAACTATAGCGGCTGCCTGTTGCCTAAAGCCGCAGAGAGGCGAGTTGGGTCCGATAAAAGTGTATGACGCGCTAAATAAGTAGAAAACAAACGAATAGGCTGGATCATAATAAACGCTGCAGTCACAGACCCAAACACACATGCACGCACACGCCTCCCACCACACACACACACACACACATACACACACGGGCGCTCTCACGCACACGCTCACGCACACATGCACGCCGACAATACATAACTCCTCCATCAGCCAAACATTCATTCATTCACACAATGCCCAAACATGTCTCCTACAAAAACAAAGCAGGCTGATAAACGCACAGCCAGAGTTGCGCGCTGCTGCAGCCGGTTTGACCACTAGTCCGTTTTAAGGAGGGCTGACGGACAGCAGCCAACGCGCGTCAACGGAGACGCGCCCGGTGGAGTCCAGGCCTACGGCTACACCTTCATGCCACTGGCCTGCAGCGGAGCAAGAGCCGCCTTCACGCATCGAGTGAAAACCCTCGGAGAGAGAGAGAGGCCAAAGGGAAGAACCCTGAACTGCCAGTGAACGCCCCGATAGGCGAACCGGAGGAACCGCCGGTGGGGCTGCGCAATGGGCACGTGAAAATACGCGTCCCTCAAATCTATGGACGTGAACCATTCCCCGGCCCCAACAGTCTGAAGGACTTCCGCAGTCGTCAGCATGCGAAACGGAATGACCTTCAGGAAATGATTCAAGCCCCTCAGATCCAAAATTGGTCGAAAACCCCCCGTCTTCTTGGGCACGAGAAAATAACGGGAGTAATAACCCCTGGGTTGCAGCAGCGGATCTACCGCCTCGATGGCACCCTTGGTCAGGAGGGCGGAGAGCTCCTGATCCAAGATAAAGGCTTTTGCCGGGTCCGAGATCAAAGTAACCTTGACCCGGCCCGACAAGTGCGGCCGGCGTCGGAATTGCAGATGGTATCCGTGGGTCAATGTGGCAACCACCCACGGATCCCGAACTCGAGCAGCCCAACACTCGAGCTGCTGATGGGAAAAATGTCCGACGCCCGGCCCTGAGGCGTCAATTCCGCGCCCCCCGCCCCCTAGGGGCTCTGGGGGGACCTCGCCCAGGACCAGCCGCGGCGCCACTTGGCTGGCGGGTCGGGCGCCTATGTACGGGTGGGGCACGAAAATTCCCGGCAGGCCTGACCTGGGGACAACGCTGAGCACCAGACCAATCCCAAGGAGGCTGCCGAACACCGGGGGCCACCATTGGGCGCAAAAACTGCCGGGGAGGGCGCACCACCCTGCTAAGGCTAGAAAGTTGCTGTCTAGTCTGACCAGCATGGACAGTCCGGTCCAATGATTCCTGGGCCGCCGTCCCAAACAACTGACCCGGCTCGACAGGCACATCACGGAGGGTCCTACGACAGGCCTCAGTCAGGGGAGACTGAGCCAGCTATACCTGCCGACAAGCCTGTACAAGGACCGACATGACCCGTCCGAGTTCGCTGGTCATCAAGGCAAATGCATGCAGAGCTGCGTCGCTAAACGCAGTAACATCAGTGCCCACAGCACTACCCTCTTGGAGGGAGGCAGACAGGGCAAGCAGCAGATGCGCTAAGGAGTTACCAATACGGCCAGCTCGAGCACCAGAATTGTAGGCCTTTGTTAGCAAGTGATCCGTCGCACGACACTGGCTCCGAGGGCACCTCACATTCTCCCGCAAGGACTCCTCCGGGGAAACAATGAGGGAGGCAACCGCCGGCTCAACAGCCGGCATGCAATCCAGGCCAGCCGAAGAGGCATCGTGCCTCGCGGCCAAAGCCTGACCCTCAGCCGAAAGCTTAGAGAGACGGCTGGGGTCCCTCCAGCACGCGTGTAGCTCCTTCAGATACTCCGCGGACGGGGGCACAACAAAAGCAGGAGACGAACCACCACGCCTGAAAAAAGCACTGCCAGGGTCAGCCTGTCCCGACTGGGGAAGTTCCACCTGCAGACGGGATAAGGCCCTGCGAAGAACCTCCTGCATTGAGCCGTCACCAGACCGGCTGGACACACTATGTGCGGAAGAATAAGCATCGTCCCCCGAAAGGGACCGCGCGTCATCCTCGTCCCGGAAGCACGAAGCACCGGATGGAGGGATGGCATGGAGCAAGAACCAGCCCCAGAGACGGCATCAGCAGCACAACGTGCCTGGAATGCAGATTTCATCGCCTCCAACTCTGCAGATAACTGCTCCACCCTCGACACCAGGACAGCATCCGGCTTGGCCTGCTTGGAAGGACCATGGCCATCAGACCGTTCCCCTGAAGCACAGGCCTCAGCACGGCGCTTAGAACGCCGAGGGGCGGAGCCACAGCAGGTCCCACTGGCAAACTACCACCGTTGCTAGACGAAGGCAGCTGAACCAGCCTCGCCACCCTAACAGCCCAGGGCAAGCAGCTGCAGTTCATGCACGGGTTATCGGACACTGCCTCCCTCAAGTGAGTGGGGCCGAGGCACGCCGGACACAGGTCATGGCCGTCATCAACATCGAGTGCTGACCCGCAGCCCACACACGCATGTGACCCGTCCATAACAACAAGGTTTTTTTTTCACTGTCTGTGTCGTTTATTCAATATGTAATTAATCCCAAACGGTATTCAAACTGCAGAACCGAATCAACGTACTGCAGTTTCACAACAGAAAAGACAAATATAGCACGGTGGAGGAGCGGACGCGCGAATAGCAGCCTTCACACCACACAATGCACCCGCAGCAAAAGGCCACTCGAAGAAAGTAGTGATGGAGGAGAGGGCGCGCGAACAGCAGCCGTCACACCACACAATACACCGGCAGTAAAATGCCAACTCAAATAAAGTAGTGATGGAGGAGAGGGCGCGCTAACAGCAGCCTTCACACCACACAATACACCGGCCACAGAATAAACACAGGCAGCAAATGCTAACCCAAACAAGAACTGATGGAGGAGCGGGACAACGAACCGCAGCCTTCACACCACAGAGAACACCGGTAACAAAAACTAACCCAAAGAAGAACTGATGGAGGAGCGGGCCCGCGAACAGCAGCCTTCACACCACAGAGGACACGGGTAGCAAAAACTAACCCAACTAAGAACTGATGGAGGAGCGGAAACGCAGCCTCACACCACACAATACACAGGTAGCAAAAGGCTAACCCAAATAAGAACTGATGGAGGAGCGGGCTAACGAACCGCAGCCTCACACCACACAATACACAGGTAGCAAAAGGCTAACCCAAATAAGAACTGATGGAGGAGCAGGCCAACGAACTGCAGCCTTCACACCACGAAATACATGTACCAAAAGAAAGTACTGACGGAGGAGCGGGCGCCACAGCAGCCTTCACACCAACCAATACACACGTATATAGTACAGAAAACACCAATAAATACCCGAAGGACAACGTCACCGTCGCGCCCCACGGAGGGCGAACCGCAGCTCCGATGAAGAGGGCTCTCAGCGACAGACGTTGATGAAGTTCAAGCAGCAACGATTCGAACCGCATGCGAGAAGAAAAAAGGAACAGAGTGCTGGATGACGCTGGACTTTATTACCTCCGGTGTGTCACCCAGGGGGTCACAGGTGTGACTCATTTGGTATTATTACTCGAACTGCGCATGCGTGAAGGGAACATTCAGTGCTATGCACCGCCCTCTGGCGGTCTGAAGGGATGAAATAGAACCCTGCACTCTTTGGTTTCATGTATTTATGTTTATTCAAAGATGCACCTTTACACTGCACCTTTAAAATACATAAACTCGTCGATTAAAACCATTTAAACTTTTTGTGAAAATAAAACAATTTTTTAGTGTCACTTTCTGTCAGTGATTTAGGAGCGTGTACAATGCTCCTCTTACCGTCCTCCTGTGACGACAGTCGATGGTGCAGCCGGGCACAGACTTGGTTCTGGGGCCGACACGTTTACGGTATCTACAATTGGACTTCATGTTGGAAGGAAACTTGCTCAAAACCTGTACGTGAAACAACACAAAAGTGAGCGTCCACCTCAGACCAAACGAAACCACTCACCCACACATCTACAAGTCACAATGATGTGTACAATATTTCGTTAGTTCACAAAAAGATGGAGATGTACCGGCTGGAAATCCAGTAAACAGCGAGGGGGTCCATCACAATCTGTACATTGACCCTGACAAAGATAAGACAAATACATCATGACACAAAGTTGAGGTTGGACTGAGAGCCTGAAGCTATAGATAATACATTAAAGAGTCTTAACGTGATTGTCTGGAGTTTGTCAGGAAAAAAAAGAGATACATGATCGACCCAAGCTCCTCCCCCTTCCTTTCTGATTGGTCTACGCCTACGTTTCCGTAACAATGAATCAACACATTTAAATGTTAATCTGAGAACATCAGAGGTTTTCAGAATTATTTGTTAACGTTTTCATGACAAAATAATGTTTTAATGCACAAAAAAAGAGATTGCGGTAAACTCAGAAGTAGCTATAAACATTAATTGAACATTATAGGACACATCTGCAGAGGATCTAATTATGGATATAGGTTCTGTATATACATGATTATGGATATAGGGTCAGTATATAAATGATTATGGATATAGGTTCCGTATATAAATGATTATGGATATAGGTTCTGTATATAAATGATTATGGATATAGGTTCTGTATATAAATGATTATGGATATAGGTTCAGTATATAAATGGGTGAAACAGAATTCTTTGTTCAGTTTTAATGTAGTTCCAGAGCCTAATGGAGGCAGCTACGAGCATCAGTGCTGATGATTGACAGCCCTTGGCATGACTTGATTGGTAAACGTGGACGGCATCGTGGATTTTGAACTATAGCTAAGAGAAGGGAAGTCGGGACCCGTAATATTAGAATTGATCAAATTATTTATTTTATATCAACATTCAAGGCCAGGAGGTCAATTTATTACAATTCTTAAAATTTGGAATTCATTTAGAGTTACAGACTATCCTTTTAAACTGAGCAGAGGACAAAATGTGGAGTTCAAATTGTTTTAGGTGCACCATGTTTATCTGTAAAAAAGTATAATCAAGATCAAACAAGAGCTATTTTCTTACACTGAGCCCCTCCCTAAATGGTTTGCCACATCTTCTCCTCTGCACTTCAAGAACCTGATTGAGGACAAGAATGATTCCAGACTCTATCTCAATGAAGCTTTTGTCCAAAGAAACACCATTCACAGCTGTCTGTTGCAAAAAAACACATAATTATTAGACAAAACAAATATCTGAGCAGGATCTGAACAGGAAGTCACTCAAGGTGCAAACAAGGTATACAAGGAAAAATAGAATAAGGCATACATAAAAATAGATATAAAATAATCATCTATGAAACATTTTTTTTAATTTCTACTATATACAAGTGCACTAAGTACGCAATAATATTACATCTTGACCTATTAATCAAATAATGCAAAGCGTTTGTATACAGGGATCAAGAGTTCCAAGCTTCCGGCTCGACCGCACGGCATTGTGGGTAGTTTTCTCAAAAAAGTGGGCATAAATTGACGCTCTCCTATTAGATTACCTGTTGCGAGCGTGATCTGTCTTTCTTTTTTTCAGTCCATAGATTTTTTTAATTACTACAAAAATCACCAATTTCAGACATTTAGAAGATAAGGTAAAGATTTTTTAATTTAACAAAAAAGCAATGCATTTTTTTCTTGTGGTTTTAAACACAACCGACTGACTATAGAGCTACATGCAGCTTATGCTACTTACGAGGATCAAATGCTTACACGAGAGCTTTATAAACTTACCCAAAGCTGTACTTTGGACATATTTGTTTGGTGTGGAGCTTCTGAATGTAGAGAAGGCCAAATACCTGGGGCGCGTCATCAGGAGTGACCTCAGTGAAGACGATGACATTCAGAGGCAGTGCTGTAAGCTGTATGGACAGGCTAACACTTAAGCACGGAGATTTCACATGTGTACAGATAAAGTGAAAATAACTTTGTTTAAAGCCTACTGCACACCTCTCTATACCGCACACCTCTCTATACCGCACACCTCTCTATACTGCACACCTCTCTATACACTTTTTTGAGAAAACTACCCACAATGCCGTGCGGGCGAGCCGGAAGCTCGGAACTCTTGATCCCTGTATAATAGGCGAGATCGCGCCACCTGATTTTTGTCGTTAATGTGAAACTGCACTTGATACGGGTTTCCCAGGAAAGTGCTTGCAATCAGGCCGTCGTAGATCTGGTCCAGAAAAAGAAGGCTGCCAGGAATCACATGATACTTCAACGTATCAGAATCCTATTGGAGGACAAGAGGTGAGAGGAAGCGCCTAGAAAAGACCACATCTTTAAACTTAAGTGTTTCTGTTCTTCTAATCTACACGTAGTAGCCCAGTGGTAAGAGCTGTTGCCTCTCTATGTTAATGTCAACTTAATTTGCAGAGCACATTAGCAACACCAGCTGCTCAAAGTGCTTCATATGCACACACTTTGTATGTAGAAAAACCAGCAAGAATTAAATATGTGAAATAGAGACTGAGAAACAAAGTCATGTTTTTAAGTTAAATTTGTATTTATATATATATATATATATATATATATATATATATATATATATATGTTATCGGGCGGCACAGTGGCGCAGCAATTAAATTGTTGTTTTCAACGTCTTGTTTCCATCATCACCGTGTGGAGAGAATGGAGAATATCTGAATTCTGAACATTTTAAAGTGCATTGGGTGACCTTGGTCTGAAAAAATGTGCCATACAAATAAAGATTACTGTATTTTCCCATTACCAGCTCAGTGATGTTCTTCCTTTGAATGTATTCTGTGATGGCCTCGTCTGTGGGAAGCAGCAGAGTGAACCATGTTCTAGGAACGAACAAGTTACGAAATTCGAGCTCGACAAAAAGATTATACATCTGGAAAAAAGAGAGATTCTATGAATAGCTTTGACATAATAAACAGAAAAATATAAAATATGAATCTTCGGTCAAAAATAATCCTTTGGAGTGATCAATTCTCTTTACCGTCACGTATGTAACTTGCCAGAGTGAGTCGTTAGCATTTAGCCTAGTTTTAGCCATCTCTTTTGCCGCTAACGGAGCCCGTGGGGAGTAGCGCCACAATCTTTGCAGCAATTACATTTTCTAAACATTCCTCTTGCTCCGGCTTCAATTTCTTGATAGAACCAGAACGGATTACTTTACAATCGCATTCTCCGCCATTTCCACAACCGGCCAATTCAGCGCAAACTCTTGACGTCACCCACATCTACCAACAAAACACGCCTCCCGCGGTCGCTGATTGGTCGGATGGGAGTCAACCAATGTAATTGCAGACACTGGGACTAGAACCAGACGGTACATGCAGGGAAATGATGATTGACCGGAGTTTACGGATGGCTAAGGCCAGGCTACTTACATACTAGTTTCTGAAGTTTGTTAGAGCCTTGTATAAGGGTTTGGGTTAGCTGCATTACCTTATAAGTGGGGCCCCAAAACAAATACATGTAAACAATTGTCATTTTATACCTTTATACATTCCTAAACACATTTCTAAAAAGTTTACCCATTCACACATACTACAGTTTAAGGTTGTACTCTTCAGTTCCTTTTCTTGTAGTGACAAACAACATTAGTACAACTCAAGCTTTCGTGACTGTTTTTTGCTCCTCAGCATTTGGGATCAAGGTGTTGTGTAATGTAGGAATAGTCGTAAATGGTCTTAAATGAGCACTTACCATTGCATAGTTTCTGAAGAGGCTGAAGTTGCTGGTTTTGTTGAGAAAATCCATCAGCGTAGGAGGGTCTGGGGGGATTTCGTTCAAAGCAGGAGTCAAAGCCTGAAGGGTGATGACAGAAGATGCAATAAAACAGGACAGAAATATGTAAGTAATATGTCATGCCTTCACAGCCCATACCTCGTCAATAATGTGTATGTACCCATTGGTGGCAGGAAGGTTGTGGATAGTTATGATGGAATTTCCAATCTGGATCATCTGTAACAAAGGAATATGTACTCTGAACAAGAACAACTTGAAAAAAAAGACTTGTTACATCTTCTTGTAGCATATTTTTAAAGTAATACTAGTATTTTTGTCCATCAAAAATGATGGTGAGGCTATTTACTTTGCCATTTCATCTTTAAGAATGTGAAATTATATCTTCAGTAAAAGGGATTGTGAGAGCTGTGGTGTTAAGAGGCTCACCCCAGTGCTGCTCCTGCTGACTTTCCATTGGGTCTGAGGATTCAGAGTGGGCACTTTGGATCCCACTAGTTTATCCAAGTCCTCCACAGAGTACACGCCAAGCAAGATGTGAGCACTGCAAAAGTCCAAAAGACCTCTTAGCGAGCAGCTCTCAGACACCTCAACAATAGTGCAGCAACATTTAGTCAAGGAAAATACAAATATTAAGATTCAGATTAATTTATTTTGCTATTTGCAGTAAAACCATATTGGGATACATCCGCAAAAGAGTTTGAAGATACAACAGAGGCAAACTAGCGACCTGGTAACTACGATCCTGTGGACGGTCTCCCCTGGCCCAGACTCACGGGCTGCACCCCACCTCCCCGCTTGGGACCCGCCTCAGTCCTGCACCACTTAGGCTCAGTCCTGGTTCTACAGCCTGAGTACTTGATCTCGAGCCCGTAGATCCCTTTCTCAATGTGAGCCTCCCTGACGTTTCTAATATTTTCCCAGTGACAACCCCATTCAACAAACAAAAAAACAAGGAAATACAATTGGTGCCAAAATAGTCAAGGTGCCCAAGTCTGTCACACTCATCGTCACATTCTACTAATATACTATACTAAGCCGGCCTTGATGTTTAATCATCGAACTGAATTTCTCCATCTGTGAGATAATAAAGTATTGATTGATTGATTGTTTGATTAAAGTAGGGGCTAGTAATGAGTGATAATGAGTCACTGATATATTTAAGAACTCACCGCAGCAAGTGAAGAGCCTTGCGCTGCCAGTGCCAGAACATGAAGTGACTTTGCACAGAGGGAGCCAGCACGGTAATGTTCCCATAGAACTCTGCAGGAATATCTCTGCGTGTCTGTACACAGAAGGTTGGAAACAAAATACAGTTGATTGTCCTTAAAGTCCTTAAACTGGCAATACGTAGCTTGTCATGTCATTTTCATCCCCTTGATTATTTCATTTCTGGATCGGCGAGTGGCAATCAGAGCTGCCACCCAATACTCATAGCACCAGTCCCTCGCTGATGGTCCTGCAGGGGGTGGGTCCACGGGAAGATGGCCGCTGCGTCAACGCAGCCTTGGTGTTTCGGGCTTCGGGTTCAGGCTTCAGGCAAAGTGAGATAAGTGTCTTGTCATTATGTAACTTGTAAAGGTTTCTAACTAGCAAAGTATCTTTACTATAGACTTGTTGTTTAAAGAAGTCCTGTTTTACTGTTGACTTCATTTACCGTATATTGTCAATAGGTGGCATTCGGAAGGCGAGACCAAGGGTAATGCCGATACGACTCTTTTGGGAAAGAAAAATGTCCAAATGTTTTCCCAAATCATTGGGAAATTTGATAATGACGGTACATTCACAATTACAGAAATAATAGCTCTGTAATTCCTGAGCCAATTCAGGGGATAAAATCTGACTTTTGACAAATTAAGCCTGGTTCACACAAGACAATTTTAAAATTGTCGGCCGATTTTTTTTCTCCGTGTGAGACCCCACACGCGGAGATAAAAACTCACGGGTCGAACCACTTTGGTCGTATAGCGTGTGGTGCGCACACACACGACAAAATCACGCAAGCCACACACATGACACACGAACTGATTTCACCCCCGAGCATTCACAGGTCACCGGAAATCTCACAACATCTCTCGAGATCAAGCGTGACTTTGTGCTGGCCTCTCTGCTTCACGCAGAGACTCTCGTCTGACCACAGCAGCCACAGACACCATGAGGACAAACAGTTCTCTGGCCCGTACTGTGTGCTGTTCAAAAAATGCAGCCTCGCGGAAATTCAATTTGGAAGACGTCAGCAAAGCCACCCCTTCCAGGCCGGCCTCGCAGCCCCAGCCTATCGCACAGCAAACGCCCATTTCCAACCAACCTACGCCGGCCAGGCCAGCCGCTTAAAAGCGGAGAAACTCCCACTTTACGGCCTTCTCGAAGCCTTGCAAAGAGTCGTTCTGGAGGAATCGCTTTTGTCTACTCACGCTTACTCGTGCGTGTCCCTGCTGTCCTCTGTCTTGCTGCGTGTGGTCTGCTCCTCCTTCGCGTCACTGCACCTGCTGCGGGTCTCGTGCTGTGGTCCGTGGGTCTTTGCCGCTCTCCTCCTTTGCGGGCTCTTTCTGCGGGTTCGCCGCTGCTCGTCTCGTCGCGGCCTGCTGCTGCATACGGCCGGTCTGGACCGGTGCGGTGGGAGCTGTGCGCATCCCTGCCTCCTCGTGCCGGTACGGTGTGGTCCCGTTGTGTTTTCCCTGGTCTTCTGGCGTTGTGGGTAAGTATGCTGACCTGTGGACGGTCTATTCCCCTCGCATTGTACTGCAGGCTCGGTTTTGGCCCCGCGCATTGGTGTGCAAGCTCTCAGTTTAAAGCCCTTGCATTGGTTTGCAGGCTCTCTTTAACCTCTCTTGGACTGCAGCTCTCTCTTTGAATCCCTCTCTTGGACTACAAGCTCTGTTTAAATCCCTCTTTGGACTGCGGCTCTAAGTTTAAATCCTTCACTCTGACTGCAAGCTCCGTTTTAATCCCTCACATTGGACTACAAGCTCTCAGTTTTAATCCCTCACTTTGGACTGCAATCTCTCAGTTTAAATCCCTCACATTGGCCTGCAGGCTCTCTTTAAATCCCTCTCTTGGACTACAAGCTCTGTTTAAATCCCTCTCTTTGGACTGCGGCTCTCTCTTTGAATCCCTCTCTTGGACTACAAGCTCTGTTTAAATCCCTCTTTGGACTGCGGCTCTCAATTTGAATCCCTCACATTGGACTGCAAGCTCTCAGTTTAATCCCTCACTTAGGACTGCAGGCTCTGTTTGGATCCCTCACACTGGACTGCAAGCTCTCAGTTTTAATCCCTCTCTTTGGACTACAAGCTCTCAGTATTAATCCCTCACTTTGGACTGCAGGCTCTGTTTAACTCCTTCACACTGGACTGCAGGCTCTCAATTTAAACCCCTCACTTGGACTGCGGGCTCAGTTTTAATCCCTCACTTGGACTACAAGCTCTCAGTTGTAAATCCCTCATTTAGGACTGCAAGCAATGTTTGAATCCCTCACACTGGACTACAAGCTCTCAGTATTAATCCCTCACTTTGGACTGCAAGCTCTGTTTAAATCCCTCACATTGGACTGCAAGCTCTGTTTAGGTCCCTCGGCGTCTCGTGTCCCGCAACCTCTTCCCGGCTCTCCGTGAGCCCCAAGTCGTCACGCGGCTCGGGCGCGGGAGGTGTCCGTGGGCTACGTCATTGGCCCCTTCTCTCCGTCTCGCTCTAACCCGATGGGCATCGCCACCCGCAAGCACTCCAGGAAGAAGCGTCTCATATTCGTCCTCTCCTGTCCCCGCTCCAGGCCCGCCCCGAGCATCAACAGCCCCTTCCCTCCAGCGCCCTTCTCCCTGCAGTCCGCTACCGTGGACCACGCGATCAGGCTGATAAAGACTTTCGGCCCCGGCTCCTGGCTCTCTAAGGCCGACATCCCGGACGCGTTCGAGCTGCTGCCCATCCACCCCGACCACTGGCGCCTGTTCAGGGGTCAAGTGGCATCGGAGTTCTTCTTCGCCGTGCGCCTCACCTTTGACTGCCGGAGTAGTCCCTCTCTGTTCAACAATCTCTCGGAGGCGCCGTGTCGGATTCTGCTTAATTACGCACGGCTCCCCTCTGTCCTGCATCTCCCCGATGATTCCCTCGTAGTCAACCCACCCTCAGACTGCTCCGGGGGCTCTCTCCGCAAGCTCAAGCTCGCCTTCTCTGCCCTCGGATTCCTTCACTCCGAGGAGAAGACCACCGGCCCCGCCACCGCTTTGGAGTTCTCGGCATCCGCCTCGTCACGCGCGCCGTGGAGGCCTCCCTCCCGCCGGACAAGCTTGGGCGCATCCGCGCTTCTCCCGGTCTGCCTTGTCCTCTCCGTCACTTTCGAAGCGTCAGCTGCTCTCCCTCCTCGGGCACCTCAATGATGCTATCCGTATCATCCCTCAGGGTCGTTCTTTTATTTCCAGGCTCCTCTCCCTCGCTGGCTCCGTCCCCTCCCTCAATGATGCTGTCTGCCTGAACGCTGGGTGCCGCTCCGACCTGGCGTTCTGGTCCTGTCCGCTGAGCCGCTGGAACGGTGAATCTTTTTCTACAGCGACGTCATCCTGTCCTCAGATGCCCTGCGTTTCTTCACGGACGCAGCCCCGTCCGTGGGTTTTTGGGGGTTTTTCCAGGACCAGTGGTTCGCCAGTGGTGTGTCAATCTCGACGTGGTAGAAATAATTAACAGAGGTCGTTCGTCCTCTCCCCAAGTCATGTCTTTCCTCAGAAGCATCACATGGCTCTCAGTCCTAAATAATTTCATCATCACTGCTCGTCACGTCCCTGGTCACCTTAACTGTATTGCTGACTGTCTCTCTCGCTTTAAATTCCAGGAGTTCCGACGCCTCTGCCCCTCTGCCAATTCAACGCCATGCCAGATCCCCTCCATGGAATCCCTCGCCCTGGACTAGTCCCTCCGTCTCTTCACCTTCTCCTCTCCTCCGCCTCATCCTACATGAAAAGGGGCCTCTCACCTTCCACGCGGAAATCGTACAGTTTTGCTTGGAAAGTCTACTCCAGCTTTTACTACGCTCACTGCATTTCCCTAATTCTGCCCTCTGCTTGCACAATCTGTGCCTTCATAGTTCACTGTGCGGACAATCTCCACTACAAGATCTCTTACATTCGCTCTCTTCTCGCCGGGATACAATTACAGGCCCGCTGTCACAACCCCGCTTTCTCCTCTCTATTCTCTGATCCATCAATCAAACTCGTCATCAAAGGCATTCACAACTGCACCCCGCATTTCTCGGACCACAGGCGCCCCATCACACTGTCCATCCTCCACCAGCTCTGCGCCGCACTTCGCTCCAGCATTTAACTGGTTCAGAGCCCAACTCAAGTCTGTACTGCTGCTTTGTAACTTGTCCCCTCATTTCTACACAGCTCACTCTTTCCGGATAGGCGCAGCTACGCGCGCTGCTTCCCTGGGTCTTCCCCATTCTGCCCTTCAGCCGTTGGGTCGCGGTCATCATCTGCCCTCTCCTCATACATCAGGCCTGACACTTCAACTATTCTGGCAGCCCAGCGTCTATTGGCATCTCCGTAAAGCACTTGCAAACTCCCTGGTGGCGGCAGCAGCTGAGCATTTATAAATAGTGTTGCCTTTATAAATAGTGTTGCCTTTATAAATAGTGTTGCCTTTATAAATAGTGTTGCCTTTATAAATAGTGTTGCCTTTATAAAATAATGTTGCCTTTATAAATAGTGTTGCCTTTATAAATAGTGTTGCTTTATATATAGCGCGGTGCCTTTGAAAGGCTCTCTTCACTAAATTACACTAACAACTCCTTCAGGAAATCACTGTTGTTAATATCTGAGTTTTAATTTATTTTGTATTTCCATGCTGTATTTTGATTAGTATGCTTCTTGATAGCACAGTCTTATGAATACAACCTGTGTTCAGAATTCCACAGAAAAGTGTTTTTGAATTAAGTTAGTGGGCTAGTATTCCCTCGAACAGTCCGGAGCATGACAATATTTTGGTTAATATTATAAAATATTTTTAGAAAATGTTTTCTTGTTCCAAAGTCAGTTTTATTTAAGTATACCTGTTTGTAGCTGAAGCGCAAGGTGTGTCCTGATTGGGCGATAGCTTGGTCTGTAGTTTTGAGATCGTTGAAGGTCAGGGTCTCACATGAAACAATGTGATATTGCATCATGTCTGTGAGACGTCCATTGTCCATCCACTGAGTCACCTGCAGGACCAAGAGCGGATTTAAGCTCAAAGCAGTGTGAAGAAGAACTTGCAATATACTTACAGTAGTGTGGTTATTGCTGCCCTCTACAGGAACAAATACAGTGTATGGGCCGTCACCATAGAGATTCCTGACGCCAGACAGCTGCAGGGAAATACATTGTGAGTTCTGTTGAACGGCTGAATATTTCGACCTAAAATACACATCATTAGATAATGATGTAATGTCAAGTACATTCACAACAACATCCTTTTACTCCAAGAAGTCAATGGTACAAAGTAGCTTTAGATAAAGTACTGATAAGCATTGCCTATACATCTATTACCATTCATTACTGAAACAGAGACTTTTCCTCATCCTGTGGCTGCTGCGTTAAAGCTGCACTAACTGACTTTACTTTTGTATTCATTACAAAAGTGCTATCCATGTCCATGCAGTGCATTGGAATATACGTCCTTTTGAAGAAAAAGTAGCGCAGGTTTGTGCTGGCGTGACATATTTTAGATCGAGTTTTGATGAAACAAGGAAGAGAATGGTTTCGGGTCGCAGATTGTGACCAATCACAGCGGACCACTGGCCCCCACTTTCGTGAGAAATCTACAGGTCTGTTAGCATAGACAGCTGAGTTAGCACAACAAGCTTCGTGGGTGCAGGGAGGGGAGCAGAAAGAGCGAGGCTCTTCAAAATCGCTGCTTCAAAATCCCAAAGTCAGTTAGTGCAGCTTTAAGGAAACGTGGCTCAACGAGTGGATCCCAGACCGTGCGCTGATGGCAGAGGGAAGTGTCCGGAGGGAAGAAGAAAGGCGCAGGTGTCTACTTCTACATCAAAAGCAGCTGATGCACCAACGTGACAGATCTCCCAGCACTGCTCTCCTGCTCTGGAAAGCTGTGTACTGTACTTAAAGCTGGTTTACTGCCCACACGAGTCTGCTTCAATCAGCGCATGTCACCAGGTATTGTGTGTGTATCTGTCTCTCCCGGACGCCTTGATTATTGTTATGGGTGATTTTAACAAATATAACTTGAGCAAGGAACTCCCCAAACACATACAGTTCATCACATGCCCGGCCACAGGAGTGCAGTCTGTCTCAGCTTCCCCGATCACACCAATCGTCAACGTGATGCTGAAAACCACTGATTGGGACATTATTAGAGCTGCCACAGGGTGAGGGTTAGGTTAAGTCTGAACAAGTACATGGATACTGTGACGTCATAAATTCACTTCTGTGAGGACAGTATAGTTCCAACAATAGCAGAGAACCAGGGTTTATTGTTGTAATTTACCCCGGCCAAACTCAGGCAGCTCAGACAGGAGAAAGAGTCTACTTTCCTCTGTCTGACGGGGAAGCAGCGGTTACAAAGGTGCAAAGTATGTCTTTAGGAAGGAGAAGGCCAGAGCACAATACAAAGAACAGTTCTTCAACAAAGACCCTGCTTCTGTCTAAAAGTGGCCAATCACCAACTACAAGCCCAAAGCCCCACACTGAGCTGACGACCAAGAGCTTGCTGATCAGCTGAACTCGTTCCTCAGTCACTTCAAGGTCATCAACACTCCTCCGCCCCCCACTGCTTGAACAACACCACCCCCATTACCTCCTCAGACTCACTTCCTGTTACTTAGGTTAGGTTCTTTTTATTCTTTTCATGAAAATTTATAGTGGTACAAGTTTCAAGTAACACTTTTATTTTTTTTATTTTTTTTCAGTTCATTCAAACATTTTCAAGATCAGAAAGGAGCAGATAGAAGCAGAAGAAGATCCTATTCCTCCTCCTCATGACATCATAACAACAGTTTCAAAGCAAGTATAAATAGGTGTTTTGTTTATCGAGACAGTTGGGGAATATATGAGAGTAACAAGAGTTGAGACGAGATGCATGAAGCAGGAGTCCATTGTTCCATCTGCACCACATTTCTCCAAATTGGTCTTTTTACTGTTTACTTTTCTTAGGGTCAGACATCGTCCTCTGTGCTTCTGCCCACTCAGTGTGTGGCTTACAGTGAAATGGAAACAGCCTTGATCAGTCTTAGATGTTCTCCTTCAAAGACTCACCGTAAACATCTGTCTGAAGAAGGCGTTCTCTGATTGTCGAGTGATTTCCTGAAACATAATGATGTACAATAATTCTGTGGATAGTAGCCTAAACAAACGCGGACAAAATATCTGAAGGATAAAGTCTCTAAGCATACGGAGTACCTCTGTCATAGCTTATTGTTGTTTCATATCTCTGTTTGTGCGTCTTGTCATTTCTGTACATAAATGCCAGGTCAATTGCGGTGGAAAACTACTGCTGTAGCCACAGCTGCCCTGGGGTAGATGGACGGAAGCGAGGCTACCTCTGACCAACCACACAGTTTGACACTTGCAACGATCCCATCACAGAGATAACCAGGCCCTGCCCTGCTCAGCTTCAAAGATCTGACAGGAGCAGGCTTTCACATGCAGGTTGTACAAACATACGTAAAAGTAGAAATCTAGTAATTATTCTTTACATTCCTTGATTATTAATCAATGAATTGATGATTGTAATAAAATATTTAAAGTCTATTTGACAATCTCAACTTGTCCAAATGTTCTGTTTGCAGGTCATGTGACTCACGGTGCTGACTCCACCTCGACAGTCAAATCCATCCCCGATGTAACTGCTGCGACAGGTGCAGTTCCTCTGACCTTGGCCCAGGTATGAGCAGTAGGCGAATCTACTGCAGCCGCCATTGTCCTGGAGTGTTACAAAAACACTTTATTACAACGGCCTTGCTGTTTCGCAGATTTACATTTTTTCTACACCATTCTTTAATACGCTGCCTGTAAACTCAATAATATCATATAAAAACTAGTAAAACATGACACCGCGGTGAGTAGTTCAGTAGTGAATCTTTTGCTAATTCACTAATATTATCTTGGGATACAAAACAAACTTGGCAAAGCGCTGCAGAGCCTCTTCCCTCACGCTCTCTCTAGAACCAAACCAGTTCATAGTGGATTGAGCCTTCAACTAGTGCCTGTAAAGCATGTTTGTTCTTGTATGTATTCCTGTAAGAACTCCAGAAGTGTGTGAAGGAAAAAGTATGTTGAAAACTCATAGGATTTCAAATGTATTATTCTATGTAATGAATCAGAATAAGTGCAAAAAGCAAAAATCCAGTATGACCACATTGTCCTAGAACTTCCTGAATGTTATGCTGGATGATGTGGGGGAGTCTAATTATGAAGTGGATCAAAAATGAAGCACGCACATGTGTTTATTCTCCATCGTTGTCAAGCATTGAATATGTTTATTTTGCGACAAGCTGCTGAGAGTGACATACTTCTCTGCAGGGGTTCACCGGGTAACAAAAATGTCCTGATCCTTTGAAACCAGCGCGACAATGACACGCCGTCTGGATCACAGAAAAAATATTACAACGGTCAGGTTAGCTGTTAGCGATGTCAAAGGCAAGACATTCACAAACTAATGGACAGAGCAGAAGGTTCAATGAGTCCTTGCATTCTCATGACACATATCTTATACTAAAACTCATGCACATGCGGCAGGATCGATGTCTCAAACTCAAAGGTTGCTTGACGTTGGGTCTGGGTCAGGCTTAGTCCCTAAAAACTGTTTCAAATATGTTTAAAAAGTACAATGTCCAATTGTCTCAATCTTTATGTGCGCTCATGATTAAAGGCATCGAAGGTTCTTTTAAAAAGACAAAAACGTAAAGAAAGCTAGTACTGCTTAATTCTAAGCCTTAAACAAAGGAGGACAAAATTAACTTTTTACATTTAAACGTTCATGATCACGAAGTGCATCGTAAGACAAGATAAGAGAACCTTTATTCATCTCACTGTAGGGAAGTTTCTGAATGGTCCACTAATCAGCTCCGCTAACGCACTTGTTTTGAGACAGTTCAGTGATGTCATGAGGATTGTTGATGATAGAAAATAGAAGTGTGATCTTACAGAGTTAGGTCCGGTTCGGATGCAGTCAGCTGAAAGAGGACATCCTCCATTGTTAACTAGACAGCCATCGATCTCTGAAAGGACAATGCAGTTAGTAAGAAGTGGAAACATACTTGGAATGAATGAGAAAATGCTTTTGCCTTGACATGTTCCCTCCCTCGCCTAATGTAATCCTTACAGTCGTCCCTCTGGACCACCTCGCTGGGAGGAGTCCAGGAAGAGAAGGGACTACATGTTATGTATCTCTGAAAATGTACCTAGAAAATCTGACGCCTCTGCTCGGATTGCAGAGGAAGAAAATTGATCCAATTATGATCAACTTCCAGAGCAATTATAAGGAATAGTCTTAGTTTTTAGTAGTTACTCTGAATATGTAAATAGGTAAATGTAACTTTGAAATCTATCTTCATCCTTTAAAAAGTCAAAATGTATGTTTTCGGAGTCCTCAGAAATATACTTTAATATTAAAACAAACCCTTTTTGTTTAAATAAAGTAAAATACAACCAATAGTGACAAAAACTATTCTCGGAAATCAAGAACGAGTAATTATCATTATTATTTGTCAACTTACCTGAGTCATCATTGACCAGAATCAATGACCAGACATGGAATACCCCTATAGTACCACTCCAACACCATTTAATACATTTTGTCACTGAACAAGTAAAGTGAACCAATGGAAGTGCATTTTTGCTTTGTTCAGTAATAGTTCTTTCATTTGGAAAAGTTGTATTGTCGTGCATACCTACACAAACGACTCCATCGCCCGTGTAACCCTTGTTGCAGCTGCAGGTACGCTCTCCTGCAGACACTTTGGTGCAAACAGCGAACGGTGAACAGCCGCCGTTGGATATTTGGCATAAATCCAGCTCTGACAGACACCACATAGTCAACTCTCAGCAAAACAAAGGGCTCACAACACAGAGATGCCATATCTTACAAGACATTAGTTTGAATTCCTTTGAGGTGGACTTGGCCGACTTAACACAAGCAGTTTCTATTGATTAGTAAAATACATCATCACCACAAATTAAATTAACTAAAGAATTCAAGTTGATTCCAAAGAATACAACACAAGCCACACCATCAAATCAGACACATTTTGTCCAAGACTTTTTTACTGGTTCTTACCCTAACCCTTAAAATAAGTGATTGATGATGATGATCAATAAAACAATACAACGGAACTCACCCAAAGTGTACGCGCAAAAGTAACATTTGCAGTACCATCCAGGTCAATGATAAGGTATGCCTCTCTTCAGTTACAACAGTGCCCCCTCTCCTTCATGCACGACACTGCAGGTAAAGTGTCTTCATTGAGCGGGTTTGCTTACCTTTGCAGTGCGTGCCATTGCCTTTATATCCAGCCACACACACACAGACTGGAGCACTGCCCTGAGGCCCCGTGATGCAGCTGCAACAACCAAGTATTGCTATTAACCATGAAAAATTAAGCAATAATAATATGCTTAGTTTAGAGATAGCTTACTTACTTTGCATTTTGGTCGCAGTTTCCTCCACAGGCGTCATCTCGGATTTCTAGTAAAAAGAAATAAGAGAATCCCACATTTTAAGTTGGTAACCCCCATTTTTTAAGGTTAGCATACTTCAGCGGAAAGCAAATACGAAAATGATATCTCATCACAGACTCTGGGCTTAGCAGAGGTTGTCAAATGTGTAGGATGTGAACAGGGAGCTTCTGTGTACGGTAAAATACAGCTCTATGTGTGAAAATCACTGAAACAATTCCAATTTGATTCAATTTTCAATGTATTTTTGTATAGCCTTAAATCACAACATTTAAGGCTTTAGACAGCAGCATCCCTCAGCTATGTGAGCCATAGCCATACCTGCATGTGAAAGCCAGATCCCATCAGACCTATGGGACTAAGCGGGGCAAGGCCTGGTTAGTTAGTTAGATGGAAGACCTCAGGGAACACCAGGTGCCACAGTGGGGCGGCTGTGGCTGTAAGGCAACGGGGCAAGGCCTGGATAGTTAGTTAGATGGAAGACCTCAGGGAACACCAGGTGCCACAGTGGGGCGGCTGTGGCTGTAAAGCGCCAAACTGTCATTGTGTCCTTAGGCAAGACACTTCCCCTCATTGCGTAGAATGAGTCTGGTGTGTGTGTGAATGGTTGGTGGTGGTCAGAGGGGCCGATGGCACATACTGGTTGCCTCGCTTCTCTCTGTGTACCCCAGGGCACCAGTAGTAGTTTATCACCACCGTGTACGGAGTGAAAGAAGTGTCCAATAAAGCGCTATATAAAACCAATGCATTATTATTATTATCTAATGTGTATATGGACGATCTGTCAATGCCCTTGAATCAGTTTGGAAGAGGATGTAGAATTTGTTCAGAGCAATATTTTTCATGAATTATACTGCCGTTTGAGCCTGTACAGAGTCTGATATCTTTGTTTTTGTTTGTACTTGTCCTGTCTGTTTCCTGTCTACGATCCATCAGTGTTCAAAATAAAGCTTAATAATAATAATAATAATCAACTGTTGTTTTTCTTATACCAATGGAGCACGAGGCTCCTTTCCAGCCTTTGTAGCAATCACAGAGTCCACTTCCTGTCAGTCCATCAGCACATTTTCCATGGTCACACTTGCACTCTGGAACACAACAGAGATCAGGGTAGTTATTAGAAATATATATACACACACACACATTCCTTGTTAAAAAAAGTAGCTGGTTATTAAGGAAAGTCAACACAAAGGGAGACAAAGCTGATCTGCTGTTTGCCCCCAGTTTCCCCCCTCTTCTCTTACTCACGTTTGGAGCAGTTGTTTCCATATCTGCCCGGTTCGCAGTCCTCGCAGGACGTCCCGTGGAAACCCTCAAAGCAGCGGCACTCCCCAGTCCCCTCATGGCCGTCCTGACACTGGCCGTGGTTTGAGCAGGGGCTGCCTACGTCTCCAGGACATTTATAACACTCACGGCCGTAGTAACCAGGGCAACATGAAAGGTCCTTAGACACACAGCATCATATCATGAGCATGAGTATACACAAACACATTTAATCACAAGCTGCAAACTTATCAACAGTGATGGAGAGTCCTGGTTCTAACCGGGCAGAGCTGAGAAATGACAGTGATTGGTCAGAATGCTGCTGGATTCTACGGTATTTTAATGGATACTATTTTCTTGTGGGTATGATGCTAGGATATGATACTAGATTATAAAGTTTAATGGATACACAACAATTAGAGCCATGTAGAGAAGTGTTGAATGTGTCCCTAAATGAGCCCATAACCTACCTCCGGGTGTGGGCGGAGCTACACAGCGGTGCATGCACGCCAAAGTCAACCTATGAACCTACTGTGCTCAGAAGATTGTATTGTATATTGTTAGTTTTACTGTATTACTTTTGTATTGTTCTTTTTGACGTTTTGGTTCCACATTGTCTTGGTGTCAAATGGGTGGGTACGACACCTTTTCAAAACTGTTTTGTTATTCTGTAATTTAGTTTTGAAATACACATCTTTATTGATTGTTTGGATCAGACAAACAATTTGGTTGCCTTACAATGGGCTTCAGTGAGGGATTGGAGGAAAATACTGGAAAACACATTTCAAAAACATGAAAAAAGCGTTAACTTTATCATAAAATGAACATTGCCTTTATTTAGTAGTAAGTAAGTAATCTAAGTAAGTAGGTTTCCTCCGGGTACTCCGGTTTCCCCTACCACTAAAAATATGTACAATAGGTCTGGCATGCGCCTCCTGTTCGGCGACCCCGCTCCCATCTCTGTGTGGAGTGAGAGGACAAGTGCCCAAAAAATAACAATTGTAAACCGCTTTGTGACTCTGGTCTGTGAAAGGCGGTATATAAATAAAGCTTACTTACTTACTTAATTTATATACCGCCTTTTCACTGCAGATCTGAGTCTCAAAGCGGTTTACAATTGTTATTTTTTTTGGCACTTGTCCTCTCACTCCACACAGAGATGGGAGCAGGGTCGCCAGTACAGGAGGCGCATGCGCATTTAATCCTCTGCGTCTCCCCATAGCTTCCAGCCCATCAGTGCCCCCAGTGTGGACTCTGCAGCCGTGTTTTACAGTGTGAGTTTGATATCAAACAAGTATGATATTAATCAAACATGTATTACTTTGTGGCTGTAAAGTGCCAAACTGTCGCCTAGAATGAGGAGAGCGTGATTTCATGCCCACTTTTTTGAAAAAACTTCCCACAATGCCGTGCGGTCGAGCCGGAAGCTCGGAACTCTTGAGCTCCCTGTATTACAAGATGGTCCCGACCTGCTATATGATATAAATGCTAGCTATTTAGCATTTAGCCTAGCTTTAGCCATCTCCTTTGGCACTAACAGAGCCCGTGGAGAGTAGAGTCACAACATCTTTGCAGCAATGACATTTGCTAAATGTTCCTCTTGCTCTGGCTTCAGTTTCTTGATATTTGGAGCCAAACCAGAACGGATTATTTTGCCATTCTACAACCTGCAAATTCAGCGCAAACTCTTGACGTTAGTGACACCTCCCTACAACACCTCCCTCCCCCGCTCGCTGGGGAAGGGAGGGAATGAACTTGAACATTCACTGACATTTCATGTTACAGAATTTGTGACCTGCCTGATGGTCAAAAACGGAGCTATCGCCGCCGTTGGGTATTTTATTGTCCAAAAGCAATTAAAAATATGTTCGAACATGCTAATAAACGCAAGTAAGTAGTCATTTATTTAGCGTCTCTCACAAACTGGGAGTCACAAAACACTTTGCAATTGTTGTGGGAATTTCCCTCTCACTCAACACTGGTGTAACGAAAAAGTTAATAATAGTTTATGTATGTATATAAATAAATAAATATATAAACATTTGAAATTCAAAATCGACTGCAGAAATGTCAAGCTAAAGATAATAAACATGTTTGAAAAGACAGAAAAGATCAGAGAGAAACAGTACAAAGGGGACAGGGCGATAAAAATACCATGGATTTTGGGCGTGGTCATACCTGGTCGTTGCCGTGGGTGACCGTGAGATTAAACCCGATCTTGGACACAATTACGTCATGATGTTTCAGCTCTGAAAAGGATCGTCTGCTGTGATTGGTCGAGATGTGGTACTCCAGGTCTCTCCCGGTCAAAGTCTGCAGCAAAAATATTCATATTTTTAAATCAAGAACAAGCAACATGAAAAAGGCGTTAATATTGAACTATAACTCAAATGGTAAGAATCACAATGGAGTTTTGGTGATTTTCAACTTAAGTTTGATACGAGTCACCAACTTTCTGTTTCGATGGTGTAGGACTGAGGTTTGATTATTATTTCTAAGATTGTTAAATACTTTCCATTATAATTATTAGTTTGGACACATTTTAAATAGAGAATCTTGAACTTGCTTGAACTCTCTGACCCGGCTTGGATCTGCCCCTGTGTACGGGGTCTGAGGGCGCCGCAATTCGGTTTAATTGGATTTAATAGAATATCTGCCTGACATTGCATTGAATATTGTCCCCCTGAGGCGATGTGTTTCTCCTGCTGTGTCTGTGTCTTCTCTCCACTCTTATCTCACATTCCTCGGGCCAAGGCCATAATAACAAGGTCCCCATCTACAACAATCTCACACTTCAGTCTCCAGCTCGGATCCCGTCTCCCCCGCCTCCCTCTCTATCCATCTTGCTCCCTCCCTCCCCTCCACTCCTCACTGTGTTTCCGACTCACCCCCCTCCCTGACCCCGCCCCCCTCTGACAGCCACATTGGGCCGGCTGTAGGAGGTGCTTCATCCCGAGAAAAAATCCGTGCTTTATACAAGGCACAATGTGTCTATCCAACTGTCTGTGATACTGTATGTTATTGCTCTCTGCTGTTTATTCTACTGTTTGTCGCATGGCGCCGTAAAGATGGCGCCGTGGCAAGAGCTCTGGTGTGTGTCGCCTTCTCTGTCTGGTGCACACCGGGGTAGTCTTGCACAGTTTTTCCAATGTGGTTTTACTGCAAATGGCAAATAAATGAATCTGAATCTGAATCAGACAGATAGCCGGGCTCTGCCAGACCCTTGTAGTTCCGCCATGCTCCACCAGAGGCGTTTGGCTGAACCACATGGGTCTGGTATCGACGCCATAGCGAACGCCTTCCCCAGATTATTTTTTAATCGACCAATCAGGATTGCCGGTGTTACGTGGGGTTTGCACTGCCTTCTCAAGCTTCTCTCATGGGTCGGCACTAGATGATATACGGAATCGGGACGAAACCGGAAGTAACAATCCTACTTTCGAATCAGTTTTAGACTAAAAAGTCCTTAAATGGTGACTGGTTAAGTTTTAGGTGTCTGGGTAAGATGGTTAAGGTTATTTTATGGGAATGGCTGGTTAAGTTTAGGCATGAATAGGTAGTTTGTTATATTTACTTCCGTCCCGATTCCTGATCTAGTGCTGACCTTCTCTCATGCAGCAGCGAGAGGAATCCAAGATGGCGCACGTAAAGTCCGCGAATCTTTTTAAAAGAGTAAATACGATCGAAATTAAGACACGGAGGTCACTTTTAATGCAATTTGAGGCGAGATGTTGATGGTTCTATGTTGATATATGTGTGTTTTAAGCGTCAAATGTTCCTGTAAAGTTTGGTTGAAGCACTGGTTCAGTGTTCCTGTTTACACACTATGCAGCAGGGTTGCCAGATTTGGTGGTTCCCGCATATTTTTTTCCAAGAGACTTGTAGGTATTAAATAAACTGAAAGACAATAAACACAATCATGATAGCCCAAGTTGATTATATTACGTTTTTAGCCAAAAAATCATTCTGAGTGTTTTTTTTTGTTGGGTATTCTCGCAAATTTTGGGTTGGAAAATCTTGCCGGGATTTGGCAACATATGGGAGCCGTGTGCTTCGATGTGAGTGGTTGAAAGCAGACTTCATTCAAGATAACGGACAAGTGGTCTATCCAATCACATACAAGGATTTTTTTTACAAGGCCCTGCCTTCTGAAATCCAACCACTATGGGTCAGTACCAGACTCATGTGTGAAGTGCAGCGAACTACATGGGTCTGGCCAGAGTCAGGTTATCAGACAGACGCACACACAATCAGTGCACCTCTAGTTTTATGTCTTTCACTTTACTTCCTGGTTGTGAATGATGCAACTGTGAAATAAACTGGGTCTTCCTTCTCCAATGTAACAAAATTATTATTTACAAATGTATTTACAACAATACACTTTGTTTTAGGAGAGTCAATCAGTAAGTATCCTAGTGTGTTTGTTTTGAAAATTATGCAAAATGTTATATAGGTTATTGCTATTGCTAATTTTGAGTAATTGTAATGAGAATCAACACCAATGTAATATAATCATGTGTCTGTAGATTATGTCTGTCTTTATAGTAGAAAATCAAGCTGTTTCTTTTACCTTGTTGAAAGTGAATCCATCGTTGTGTGGAACAAACAAAGTGACGTCCGTGTTTCGCTGAGACAAGAACTCCACCAGGTTTTTACCGTTTTGTGATGAGCTGCTGTAGTCCAACAAGAACTACACCGAACAAGCACAAGGCAGAGGGAGGACTAGATTAAGTATGCATTGGAAACCACAGTGGCCATTAGAGGAGGGGGAGGCATACTCTGTAGAAGATGGAGAAGTTGGAGTTTGTGGCCAAAACGTCAGCCAGAACACCGTTACAGAAGTCTCCGTTGCCAACGAAGTCGCCAGGACACGAACAGGACACGTCTACGAACAAGACGGATGATGTGAAAGGGAAGAAACGGATAATAAAAGCATTGCAGTATCATCAACAAAACAAAAAATATTGCTACAAAATACATTATGCGATCCATCGATTATATTGGAAAGTTGATATAAAGTCACTAGTCCAGTCAAAAATAGAGTGTTGTTATCGAGTTAATTCCAATCAATTTTAACTACGTTGTTTATTATACGGCACAATTTACGCTGCACCTTTTGTGAAATTGTGTGTTTTTCCTATGCAGTATTAAAGCTGCACTAACCCACTTTGTGACTTTAAAGCAGCAGTTTGAAAAGGGCTCCTCTCCTTCTTTCTGCTCCCCTCCCCAAAGTCACGAAGCTATTTCCCCCCACCACCCCCTTCCCTTTCAGCCTGTGCTGTTGTTTACGGCGCTAGCGTCTCACAATATGGATCGCACATTTGAACGTGGATGGCGTGACCATAGAATGATAGAACCGGGAAGCACACTCACACACACACACATCAGAGAGAGGCACCACAAGTGCGCAGACAAAGCAGACGGTGACGTTTCCAACAAGGGAATCTGAAAACACTTGTGCTCAAGTAGATGACGTGAGCACAAGTCCAGTGCATAAAAAATATATATATTTTGAAAGAAAAGAAACCTGTCCACCTTTCCGTCGATGATGGGATTAAGATTTAAAGATACTTTACTCGTCCCACTGTGGGGAAATGTCAGTGTTGCAGCGCCTATCTTGAGGAGCACACAGCACAAGATAAATTAAGAATAACTCTATACTAAAAATAAAATCTCTAACTTTAGCACACAAAATAAGCAAGCATAAAATCTCTAGCTTTAGGAAACTTGAGCATATCGAAGATGGAAGAATTAAATACAAAAGCAGCAGAGCAGACTCGACCCATTTCCTCAAGGGATTTCAGACTTAACCTGAAGATTTGAGGAAATGTGTGGAGTCTGTTCTGCTCCAGCTTGGTCTGATATAAAACCTGCAGCGACACTAGTCCTTAGGAACAGGTCTGGACACCACTGGCCTAACAGCAAGAACTGAAAAGACTTGCATTTACCTGTTAATCTGTAGCAGTAGGCGTCGTAGCGGCTGCTCTGGTCCACTGGGTCTCTGTCAGCACCACTCCCACATGGTTGTCCCCACATTTGGCTGAAGGGAAGCGGATTGGATAGCCCACTTTTGCCCCCTCAATCCACCCGGCAGCACACAGATGCATGCCCAGCTGAAAACAACGACAGATCGTGTACAGGGCTATGTGAGTAGCTAACACTGCTCATCACCCTCAGTGCACCTTCCCCAGTGTCAAATGTGGGGGTGGCAGCATCATGTTATGGGGCTGCTTTTCTTCAGCAGAGACAGAGAAGAGTGCCAAGAGTCGATGGGAAGGTGGATGGAGCAAAATACAGGACATTATTGGACAAAAAGCCTCTGGAGCTGGGGATTCAAAGTTGTCTGTTACTTTGTTATGGTCAGTAAAGTAGTAAAGTAGAGTAGTATAAAAGTATAAATACTTCCGACCGGGATTTTGAATTATATACATACATGTAATTTATATATATTATTAATAAAAACAGCTGGAGCACGTAAGTAAGTAAGTAAGTAATGTTTATTTTTATAGTGCATTTTACAGACCATGGTCACCCAAAGCGCTTTACAATTGTTCAGAGTTCAGATATTGTTCCATTCTCTCCACGCTCGGTGATGACAAAAGCGAGAAGCCAAACACACTGGAGCATCAAAGCCTCCAATCAACACCGTCCATTCACTCATTTACTTTCATACCTATTGTGCATGTTTTTAGTGGTAAGGAAAACCGAAGCACCCAGAGGAAACCTACACAGACATGGGGAGAACATGCAAACTCCACACTGAAAGGCCCTGTTCGAACCCAGGACCCAGGGATTCGAACCCAGGACCTTCTTGCCGAGAAGCCACCGTGCCGCCCACTTTTCACTAACCATTTGTAAAACAGGAGACGTCTAACCTGCTGAGCGTCTCCCATCTGTTTGAAGCTGGCCAGAGCGCCTCCCTCGTCCTCACAGGCTTTTTTAGCTTGACTGAAGTTCATCTGGTACTTCCCTTGAGGAGACCGGAGGTGGAACACCCCCCCAGTTTTTGCTGCACACAGCATCAATGGAACATGTCAGAAATAATAACTTGGGTGTTTGTTGAACCAGGGACTCACTGTGGTAGTGCAGGTCTTTGCACTGAGCCACCGGGTCACAGTCACCGTTGTTCTCAAGGCACCGATCGACTGGAGGCTCAACCTCCTCCAAACACTGGACTCCATTACCCACGTACCCCGGCAGGCAATCGCAATTACGTTCATTCTGGGGAGAAGACGTCATTCATAGATTCATGGGCTGTTGGTTTTATCCACGGTAATCTGCTCTTGAATTAACTACAATATGCAAACTGGACACTTCAGTCATAATTTTTCTTGATTCGTTAATTCTGTTTTGATTTTACTAACCGGTCCTGTGAAGCTGCATGAGGCAAAGTCACTGCAGCCTCCATTTGGCTCTTCAGTGCATCTGAAACACAAGATCGAGGTCAATCTCCTTCTAAAATGAACCAACTCCAGCTCAATGTAGATTAGCTGTAGTTTTTACTCCCATCTAGCATTAAGATAATTGTAGGGGATTGGGTGGTTTGAAGATAAAAGTTTGTCACCCACCGAGACGAACCCTTATCAAAGAGACAAGTCAGGCCCACAGCGCCTCCGTTTAAACTGGATTAAAAGACAATGGACAGTCTGCTTTCTCCGGCCAGACTGGGACCAATGTGTAATAACCCGCAGGTGAGAACTATCATCAAAGGACCCTACGCATTGTCAAGGAATACCAAAGACAGTGCCCCCACCAAACCCCCCTCCGTTTAACGTAGATTACATAATATATTGTAATCTACGGTACTACGGTAGCTTTGCAGGACAATATGTCGTCTTTGACAGTGGTCCCCAGCTCCAGGTCCTTTTTGTCCCTTATCAACCACTGTATTTCAAGATGGCGCATTGACATGTAGAGTCCTCTAGCCTCATGGACATTTATAAGTCATGACAACAATTCAAAAACAATAATAGAGGTAAATATTCCGTCTGTAATTGGTAAACATGGTTTTTCATTTGTAACAACTGCAAAAATTATACAGAGTACCTTTAAATCTCCACATCTTCAGTGGGACATGGGAAAAATTATAGAATTTTAATGGGAACTTTAATGGGAACCGTGTCAGTTCAGCGCTCTTTTTCTTTTGTACTTACAAATGAGCACAATATGTATAGCAATGGTTTTATCTGAAATATCAAAGTCTGTGAAAGTGTAAACGATTCCCCCTTTTTGCTTTTCACCTGTTGATTGGCTGGCATGAAAAGCCGTCGCCTTGGTAACCACTGTGACAAGTGCAGTTGACGAGGAGTCCGGTCTGATTGCAGTCAGCGTGAACGTGACATCCTCCGTTGTACTCAGCACAAAGGTCAGGAGCTGGGGCAGGAGAACTGGGTTAGACCACAGACCGTAGATGGACGCTGCTGACCTACTCGCTTGATGATGTATCAAAGGGAAGTGCTCATGGCGAAGTTTTGCTCCTTCTCCATTCATTTAGATTTCAAAGTTAATGCCACTAACACTGAAAAGGTTTGTGTCACACTCACTATTCTGGGCTGAAAAATGTGAGATATGACGCTCTAGAGCAGGTGTTAGGTCGGGGGCCAAGTTTAAAAACAGAAGAGCAGGTTGGGGCCAAACGTATAAAAGACATGAGTTTGGATATTATATTCTTGTAGGTTTGGATTCAATTTCAAACTTAACTCCTAATTACATGCTAGTTAACATTTTAGAAAAATTCAATTATATAAAATAAGATATATGGTTGTTTTCCTGAGAATATAAGCTTTAAAATGAATAATTGAAAATCATTTCAGGGGCCACCTGCTCCACATGATCCTGGTTTATTTGGCCTAAGACAACAAGACATAGGGCCTGTTGGTTCCACAATTAGTCATTCTTCATCAATAAGCTACGATCCTTTCTGCAATTTATGGCTTTTACTTGTGCAGCCTTTATGAATATCTTTTTGTCTTTATTCAACAGGTTTACTTGTTTAATGCTTGAAAATCATTCATTAGCTTCCATGCTTTGTGTTTGATGAATTATTGGACTGATTGTGATGAAATGCTGATCCTTGATCCATACATTAAATAAAATCAAATGATGTTAATAAAACATCAATTGCTAACTAGTGCAGTAACCGGACTTACGTGGTAGAGGCTCACAGAAGGTCCCATTGCCCTGAAACGCTGGTTTGCAGCTGCAGCCGGAGCCTGGCTCACACTGGGCGTCTTTGTGACACTGCCTGCACTCCTCAGGGATCGAACCTGGCACCGCCACAAACAAAATCTATTAAGACTAGAATCAGGAGCGTGAAGATTTGACCTAATAATAGCCTAGATTTAGCAAAACCTAAACCAGGACCAAAGAAACAAGCAATAATCAGGGAAAGGATGGACAAAGTTTTATGAAAGGTATTTTCCACATCTAACGTTTGTTAAACATGAATGTGTTTGTGTCAGACTCACCGAGGTCAGTTTGACAGCGGTCCCCAGTCCAGCCGCTGTTACAGACGCAAACTCCAGAGCCCTCTTTTCCGTCCACACAGACGCCTTTCTCTGTGCAGTTACAGGCTGAAAAACACGCAACACTACTTTTCACGTAGAACAAGACAGAAGGAAATACAACACACAACTTGAGTTTATTTCATAACTTCTTTACCGATCTTTATCCTAACTGTTGTGTCATCAGGTGGTCCAGCAACACCATGTGCCGAAGATCATTGGACTAGTAAGTAAGAATCTTTATTGATATAGCACTTTTCACAGACCAGAGTCACAAAGCGCTTTACAATTGTTGTGGCCATTTTCCCCACACAGAGATGGGAGCGGGGTGCCATACAGAGATGTCAGACTTATTGTACATATTTTTAGTGGCACCCGGAGGAAACCTACAGAAAGGTGGAATCGAACCCAGGGCCTTCTTGCGGTGAGGCACAAGTGCTAACCACTGCAGGATTCTTCTTCCTTGATGGCAAAAGCTCGATACCAGGATTCTCGAGTCTGATTCAGAAGGATGACCAGTAATTTTCTTTACCAGAGTTCAGATCTTATCTCTGGCAAAGACAATCTCTGATTAGTAATAAATAAGCGAAAAGATACCTATTGTGTCCATGATAGAGTCGCTTGAGATACACTTCAGATTGATGAGGAATATGTGGAAGATGTATTGTATCTGACACTATGGGTGCAGTCCCTCATTCATACATGTTTGACAGGAGAAGGGTCATGTGGACAGTGACGTGAGGAAGCAGAAGTGTAGCAGGGGCTTTGTGTGGGGCCCCTCCCCCACATCTGGCCCTGCGCCTGGCCTCAGACTCACAGGGCTGCGCACTAGAGCTGCAACTAACGATTATTTTAATAATCGATTCATCTGTCGATTATTTCTTTGATCAATCGATTCATCGGATAAAAAAAGCATTTGTAGTTTCCATCCCGTTATTAAAAAACGTGGCCTTGGATCAACCCAAAGAAACAAACAAATGTATGCTCTGCAGTATAAAGTAAAGTGCACAAAAACAGGTTTTGTTGTTTAACCCAAAGAGCAATTACAGACAAGACACGTTTGTGTAATAAAGTCATTTTTAGGGTAATTGTACATTGTTGAGTGCATATACTCAAAAACTTTTGAAATTTTTGTAACTTAAAAGTGATAGGAGATATAGACTTTCTGTAAATTACAGAATTATTAAGGATGGCCAAAAGTTGTATATAGGGAATTAGTGTACCCATCTAATTAGCATATTATGACGTCATATGGCGTTGGAAATTGTGGATTTTAGAATTTTCATAAAATGTGTCTCCCCTGCTCTCTCTCTCGTCCCCCCCGCGCTCTCTCTCATCTCCCCTGCCTAAAGTTAGTGCGGTACAACACTCGCACGCTTCCTTCGCTTCACTATTCTGCACTGGTTCAACGCCGTCTTGCTCGAATAATTGTCTCCATCATAGACTGTATTAAAAATGACCACCTTCGCCACACTCTGCTCTTCTTCTGTGGAGTTTTACGGCAGTGTGCATGCAGTGTTGTGTAGTTCTGTGGTGCATGTGCGTCTGTCCGCTCAACCATAGAACTACAAGAATGCGCCCAACTCGAGCGCTCGGTGACGTATTAATCGCGCAACACAACGAATCGATAACCAAATTTGTTGCCAACGCTTTTAATAATAAATTTTTATCAATATTATCGATTTGTTGTTGCAGCCCTACTGAGCACACAACCTCCATGAGCTTCTGCAACCTCAGTATAATATCATCCTATTCTCTCATGCACCCAAACCGCAAAGGCAGGTTCAGTAGCTCGCTTTTATGAAAGTATGACAAAAGCTAAACCTTGTGCTTGTCTTAGTGTCATATGAGATGTCATGTCATTCACATGTCATGTGAATCTCATCTTGTCCATGTCTTCTGACACACATTGACTACTATACAATGTGACGTTGATAGTGTGTCGCTGCCTCTGGTCTGTTCTTTAATCAGTGCATTCATTTGACATTGTCCAGAGTTGAAAGAACTCAATAATCACTTCCTCCGTATCACTGCTGCGAGCCGGGGCCTACTTGTGCAGTTGGCTCCAAAGTGATCGGCGGCGCACAGATCGCAAGAGTCTCCTCTGAAGTTCCGCTCACAGTTACACTTCCCCGAGCCTTTCAACCCATCATCACAGTTACCATGGAAACCGCAGGGCGACTCAACTCCACCCGGACAAGCTGTTATCACACAGAGACAACCAATCAGACCAATCAGAAATAAGGTGCACTCATACGGCCATTGAACGTATATATAGGCTGAACCAGAAAGACATTGTTTTTTACAACGTTGCAACATGGTTAAAAAACACTATTCAGAGTTCCTGGTACCTGAGCACTCCTGTCCATAGTGATTCTTGCAGCACTTCTGGGTCCATGACGGGTAGTGACACACTCGTTTACAACCTTTGCGTCCAAACGGAGACAAGTCCAAGTCCAGCGTGTACCTGTACCTGTAGCGGGACGACGGGGCGATGCAAGACTCCACCTTTCCCTGTGAGACGAACATACTATGGTATGAGCATAGTGTTAGGCTGCAGAACATGGACCAAGACCATACAGACAGAGTCCTGGATCTATAGCTGTCCATCTGTGGGAGCGAATCCCTCCCTCAATGCGGGCCAATGAGGTTTATCACTTTTTCCCACTGGTTTTTCTATTAGTTATTCCTTGCAGATGCAGGAGGGTCCAGGACATTTGACATTCAACAGCATTTATGGACATTAGTCATCTGCTCTATGTGTTTTTTTTAATCGTTGCATTTCTTGTGTTTGATTCTTGAATGATTCTAATGAAGGTAAGAATGAGACAGTGGGGTTTTTAAACTCACAGCCTGAATATAAAACAACCCATCAGCAGATACATTATGAGAATGGTTTGAATTGAAAAATATCCTGTAAGACGATGAATGCTTCACGGCGTCACAATTATATGTTTTCCGTTTTGACACAAATTTGTACAAGCTTTGATTCAATTTCACCACACTCAAGGAAATGAACAGAATCTAAATCATGGATGTGGTGGTTAGAATTCCCCTCCCCCTGCCTTTCCTCCAGCGTCTCTCCTTGTGCACCTGGCTCTGATTGCAGGGTTTTGGGTACTCTGCAACTTCCGTGAGGGGATGCTTTTCAGCCTCCCACGGGTCTACAGGAGCCGTGCCTGTGGTGGCCGCAGTTTCTCGCTTCTGCTCTTTGTCTGTTGGTGAGTCCCGAATTAGCTTTTACGCCTATTCAAGGGGTGTTCATAATGCAGTCAGAATATGGGCTTGACACGCTGACATGAATATTGTGACTTGTCATGTGTGCTCTGGAGTTGGGGTCCAGATTCTGTGCCGTTTGCGTGTCGCCTGGTTCTGAATCTAAAGAAGTTCTAAAGAATCCCTCTGTATGAGTCTTGCTCTTGCCCGCGGATTTCAGCAACATAACTGACCACATGTTGGTTTGCACTCCAGGGGAATTTCCTCAATCTGACAAGGCTTTATTGGCCTATATACCTGAAAATATTTATAGGCATACATGCTCACAAGACTATCACTAATTGAGCATTATTGATACGAGCAGCATGAGAAAGTAAATATCTCTGGGTAAAGGTTAAGGATCTCTGACCGTGTCTGTGTGTCTCAGGCGGCAGGAAGGAGGATTCAGGCAGCGTCCACACCGGCCCTGAAAACATAAACCATTGAAGGCAGGTCAACAAATATAAACAAATGAAATCACTGAAAAGTCCTTAAAATTAACACACATTAACACACAGCAGAAACCAGGGGAGAAAGCCAAAATAATTAGGCTTTCAATGGGTTAGCTGACAGGTTCAACTGCTATCAGTTAAAAGAACATGGTTTATTAATGCCTTTTCACAGATTAGGGCAATTTAATGATGACTTGACATAAAAAAATTACATATTGCTACTTTAATTAAGACAAATTATCTAAGATTGTCTTTTTACAGTGTAAGTGCAAAACACTCCACCCACATGTCCCTCTATGACGTGTGAATGAATGATTGTTGGTGGTTGGAGGGACTGATTGGCAGCCTTGCTTCCACTAGGCTGCCCCTGGGCATCTGTGGCAAGTGTCATAGCTTCCAAACACCATGTGTGGAGTAGTAATGCATTATCAAACACTAAACAGGACTGAACTACACTGCTGCAATTAGAAAAGCAATTAACTGAGACGACTGGCGAACAGAGACACCCCTGTACAGGACGGCACATTATAACAATGAATTATCAATACAAATTATTTCATTGGAAAAAAAAACAGGTGTGTCCAATGCTCACATATGTGGTCTTGTTGGTAATGTCATCACAGTGAGCGCCCAGGCCTGGAGGTTCCAGGATCTGGTCGATACCGTAGGCCATGCCATCAGTGAACATCAAGTACCGCTCAATGACCCGGGCTGCATTTCCGTTCAGCAAAATGTTCCCCTGGAAAACAAATCACTGTCCATCAGGGCTGCCCACTATTCCAGCTCTCTATTAAAACAAGAAATCACAATTGGACAATATAAACGCCATTTTTATTGATTTCTTCTAGCTGTTCAGATGAATCGTAAATCCACTGGAAGAATACTATTTTTTTAAATGTTAATTAAAGATGCAGTAAGCGATTTTGTTAGCTTAGCCGTAGCACCAACTGGAAACCACTCCCCTCTCCACCAAACATCCAGCATTTTCTTTTCTTTGTCACACACATGGAGAGTGAGCGGCAAATGTGAAAATGGGATTTTCTGTTCAGCCATTTAAGGTTTTAGAAAATTCAATAACTCAAGTGCACTCGCGAGAGGAAGAGGGTGAAGGGGGTAAACGCATCCCATTGGTTCGTTGGGGGTGAACAAATCCCATTGGTTTATTTTTATCGGTCCGCACCAAAATATTTTTTATTAATTTCTGGAGACTATGGCATCTGGTCAATTCCATTACCATTACTTTGAAAACACATGATAAATTGACTAGTTTTAGGTAGGGATGTAAATCGGTGACCGTTTAACCGGTGGTTGACCGTTACAGCGTTAACCGGTCAAAGCTGTCGGTTAAAAAAGAGAAAAAGGGGAGAGGGGAGGTCTCTTAATAACGCTATTTTAAGCCCAATTTGCACGGGGTGACGAACGGGTCTGTATCTAGCTGTGTGCGCAAATGTATCAGTAAACTCCAGGCCGACTCTCACGCCGCACGCGCCACATATGCACACACACATGCACACGCACGCGCGCGCGCACAGACACACACACACACACACACACACACTTTCCCCCCTCCATTGATACGTAACCTCCACACGCATCATCTCTCCCCTCTGTTACCGCCTGCTAGTTGCACACTGGTGCGGGTCAGAACTACATTGGAGCTTATATTTACGCACACACACACACACACACACACACATACACGTTTTTGTTACCTGGTGGGTCCCTTTGACAGGGCCGTTCAGAATGGGACCCATAGACATAATCTTTTTTTACCAAGACTTTAAGTAATACAAAACAGTCAATAGAAACCAAACAACTATTTTAAAGGAATTTTATTTTAGATTTTGTTTTCGAATTGCAGTGATTCTATTTTTGACATAGAATTTAATGCCACTCCATGTCCGATGTCTAAGGTCATCTGGTGAGGCATTAATGCAGGCCAGGCAGTGAGACTTCCCAGGGACCTTTCCAGTCTGTATGAAAGGTGTCATGGTCTTCTCCACAGCCTTCACCTCAGATGCAGACCATGGCTTTCTTACACGTTCTAGGGAGAGAAATAAAAATATATTAGCAATATACACTCCCAGGGTGAGGACCAAGCAGCCTGGCTGTAATCCCCCACCTGGTACACTTACCAGAAGGGGCACTGCCACTACCATGGGGTGCATCTGGATGAATGGTTGAAGGTTCTCCGCTTGAAGTTTCTTTTAGCCCGTCCGTTTGTGAGAGGATCTCTACTGCTCTCCCTGTCGCACAGAAAATAAAAATACAAGTGGCCTTTAGGGGAAAAAAATCATACATATTTTAATAATATCAAGAATTACCTTCAGGCTCAATTTGTATCTGGTCGAGGCTCTTTCCTTCGAATTCCGTCACTCTTCCCTGCTCCATGGCCATCAACACTTTGCTGATTTTGGCCAGCTCCAGTGTCCCCTCTGGTAGTCTGTAATATTGCCTGTGGATGCGAATGTCATGGCCGAGGAAGTTGGCAAGTATGTCCATCTCATTCTCTTTCATATTGAGAACTGTAGACATAGTAGCTATGTGCTTTCTAAGCTTGGTTGAGGATAGCATCTCTGGATGCACCGCACCACATTCTTTGGCTACCTGCCGTAGGGAGTCTGATCCCCTGATGTGGGTGTCTGCGCCCGGGCGGGAAAAGAAGTATGGGTTATGGTCAGAGATGGAACAGGCCCTTCTGTTCTCCACCAGCACCTCCATCGAAGCAATCATTTCAGGAGTCAAAAGAACCGGCACTTTCCGACTTCTTTTCCCTTTAATTTCAATGCGTTGAAAATGCTGACACAGCTTTTTCTCAAGTTGGGACAGTCCCAGAGCAATGTCAGAATGGATCCCAGTCTTACTTCTTAAGGTAAAGGCTGTCAGTGGCATCTTTGAAACCTCACCTTCCCTTCTTCGATTGAAAATGATGACCTCACAAAGAGTCAAAACTGCCAGTTTAGACCAATGCTTAGACGTTGGCTCACTTATTTAGGGTTTGCACATATTCAGGTCGACATACCTCAATATGTGCATGCATGGCTCTAACGTCCTCAGTCAGAGGGAGCAGGTCCGGAGTGTTCCACTTGGCTTGCCGGAGGGTCTGTAGGGCAGCAGAAGAAACACAGACGTCCCACCTCTTCTCAAAAAGCAGCCGGCTTCGTTGGAGGTTTTTAATAAATAGTTCATCAACCCAATGCTCCATTTTTGAGTCACATTCAAGAATATCTGCTAGCTTTCTGAGGCTATGGCCGAGTTTGAGGGCCAAGGATGGAGTCTTGTATTGATTTGTTTCCTCATCATATCCAGCCACAGACCTGACTGCATCAATCACATGGTTAAAGTTGGAAGGAATAAAGAAATCCTTAATTGTTTTCAGTTTCCCTGCGGTTTTTGCTTCGTTAATTAACCTACCGACTTCTCTCATTTTCTGCCTAATGTAATCATGCTTTGTCTTATCATGCCCGTGTTTTAAGTACAGGTGCTCTCCGAGTCTCAGAATCCCCTTTTCTGCTTTGACAACACCCGTGACCTCATCCTGATGCATTGCCGAAATTAAAGACCACAGCTTTTTGCTGATGCCCTCCGGTACAGGCTGGGCTAGGGAGCAGAGGGACTGGACCCTACTTCTACCTGGTTTAGCCTGGGCATCTTTCTGTGAAAGCCGGCACCTGGCCACATGCCTCCACAGCGACTTTCGCTTAAGCAATGCCCCACAGTCTATACAGTGCAAAAACTCACTGGATTTAACTGGGGAATTTGGCTGTTTAGCTGGGACTAAAGTTCCAATGCCGGCCTTTAAAACCTCAAAATTGTGCTCACGGTTTCCACTATTCCTGATCAAATCAAACTGAAGTTTACGTGCTTTAGATTTCACAGGTAGAGCCAATGCTCTGGCTACGTCACTTTCATTTCCATGTTTTCTAGTCAAATGACGGGACATTTTGTGGCAGGACATTGAACAGTAGAGGCAGAAGTGTCTCTTGCTGTATACTCGCCCCCCATTTTTCTTCTTTTGCAGCTGCATGATAACAATCTTATTTGCCTTTGGTTCGTCACTTTCCGAGTCTTGAAGAAAAGTGTTTTTGATTTTTCTTTTTCCATACTTTTTTACAGGTTTCTTCTTGACAGTTAAATCGTCAGAATCTGAGTCGACTTCATCAATTAGGGACTCTTGACTAAGCTGCACAAACAACAAATAATTTGTAATCATTCTATATAACAATTTGAAGTCATGACTTGTAGTCAGCACTTACCAGTGGTTTGTAAGCGTGCGCTTCAGTGTGCTCCTCCATGATTTCTTGCAGCCTAATGAACCACACACTTGCACCTTTTTCTAGCCTGACACCTGATTTCCTCTGTTGTGCTGCTCCATGATTGGCTCCAGCCTGCTGGACTGAAATTGCCCCAGTGTGCCCCTCCTTGATATCCCGCAACCCACCACCAGGGTTCCGACACATAACACACTTTTTTCAGGAAAGTAAACCTCCAGGGGTCCTTTCCATATTTTTACAGAGACTGCATAAGGACCGTTAGAAAAGCATTACCCATTGATTATTAAGCTTGGACCAGTGGGGTCCGGTGTTCGGGCCCCACCACGTAAAACCAGTCCCCATGACGTGAGTGGAATCTCAGGTTATGGAACCCACCAGGAGTTGAAAACAAGTGCACACACACACACACACACACACACACATGTATTGTACACACACATACATACCGGTCTGTTGCGCTCCTCTGTGTCACGGAGCCCAAAGGATCCGCGCAAATGCGCGGCTTCAGTCAAACCACAGGAACATGTTTGTGTTTATGGTCCTTGGCATCGGCTCCACACACATCACTTTCAAACTTTAGCGGAGACCTGCGAGACGCGGCTCGTCACTCGCTGCTCTGACCATGTGAACGAGCCGTCTTTTGTTTAATAATGCTTTAACCCGCAGCACAGCAGAATGGGAAGATTAAAACAGCAGTTCTCTGTGCTCAGAGGTGCCGAAGCTGTTGCAGGTTTTTGCGCCGCTGTCTCGGCTCTGATCCTGTAGAACGCAGAGCTGCACTTATGAAAAGCGGCTCAAAATGGCTGTTATTTCAAAGAACGTGGACTAATTTAAACTACGCGGTTAACCGGTTTCAACCGGTTAATGAGGCTCGGTGGTTGGTCATGAAAATTCATAGTTTTTTACATCCCTAGTTTTAGGGTTTAAGGACATTTTCCCACAATATTTAAAAAATGTGTCTGGAAAAAAAATCCCTGACTGCATCTTTAAGTATTCAGTGGAGAAAATGGTCCGAATCAATCAAGCAGAGTCTGCAGACATCGACCTGAGGATAGAAACCTGGAAGAGAGGAAGATGTGGCTACTCCATCTCTGCTTCTGTTGCACTTTATTACTGATGTTTGTAACTTTTAGAATTACGTATTTATTTGTTTGTGTGGATGGATGCGTTTCTGCTGCTGGATGAATCAATAAATGAATTTATCTAAATGTCTGTATGTGCCCGAGCAGTCATTCACAAGTAAAGAATTCTTGTTTACAATTAAGGCTAAGTCTAAGAAAACAGTTATTTTTATATTTGTATTGGACTTAAATCAAAACAAAAGAGCTAGTATGACAAAGACTACAGTATATGTTGGTATTATCCATCTTTTTAGTGGTCGGGGAAACCGGAGCACCCACAGGAAACCTTCACAGGTACTGGGATAAGATGCAGAAGGGTCCTGGAGGTGGAATTGAACCCAGGACCTTCTCGCTGTGAAGCACTAGCGCCAACCACTGCCAGAATAACCAGAATGTTTGAAAGCAAACAAAGATAATATGGTTCTACAAACAATAAAAACATAATACCTAGTTTATTACACATCAAAGCCAAAACCAAAACTGCTGATGCTTTTCCAGAAGCCCATAAATGAATCCATGACTTATGTGGAAAAAGTATGATTTATACCTGGATGTGACCCAGAGCACCAGATTTGTCCACTTTTTACAAGAATGAAACTGCACCTCTTAGTGGTGGTCTGTGCTCTACGGGACATCAGAGAACATAGCAGAGGTGAAAACTCTCATGTGGATTTTGACAAAGATAATACAGTATTTAATTACGTTTCTCCCCAATATCTTGGAAAAACTGAAATCTGCCACTGACGGAAAACCAAACATAAATTCTTCTTACCACGAGGCTCTTGTCACAGGCATAGTTGATGACTGATCCATGCATGGATCGATAAGACGACTGGTATTTGTCAGGATTACTGATCCCCATCACCTACAAACACAACAATGTAGTCGTTTCAATATGAATTCAATATTGATGAAAATATGTTTAGTTTTTCTAATAGTTATCTGGTCGGTGGTTAGCAGCAGTTGCCGTTTTAAAATCAACTCATCAGAGGGAAAAACTTCAAGAATGTGTGAGACCTCTTCCAGGGAAAGAGAAGCTGCATGTTCAATTAATGAGCGAAACATGGGGGTAGATGTTTCAGTTCTGACAGTCCTGATCTCAGTCTCTGGCCCCGGACTCTGGAACCAGCTCCCTCCTGATCTACGAGAGTCACTGGTTTTGGGCTTTTTAAATCGAGGCTCAAAACTTATTTTTACAGACTGGCTTTTAACACTTTTAACACTCATTACACAATGACACTTTTGAACATTGTTTTACTGTGTGGCCAAACTTGTATGCGGAAGCCAGATCCCGTCAGACCTCTGAAGCTGTGCATTGCCGGGCATGGTTAGTTCTGTGATGGGAGACCTAAGGGAACACCAGGTGCCACAGTGGAGCGGCTGCGGCTGTAAAGTGCCAACCTGTTATTGTGTCCTTAGGCAAGACACTTCACCCACATTCCATAGAATCAGTCTGGTGTGTGTGTGAATGGTTGGTGGTGATCGGAGGGGCCGATGGCACAGACTGGTTGCCTCGCTTCTGTCAGTGTGCCCCAGGGCAGCTGTGGCTACAGTAGTTTATCATCACCATGTCTGGAGTCAAAGAATAATGACATGTGAAGTGTCTTTGAGTGTCCAGAAGAGCGCTATATAAAACCAATGCATTACTATTATTATTATTATTATTATTATTAACTGTTTTATTGTTTGAATTTTTTATGTGATTTTATTGTAAAGCGCTTTGGTCGCCTCGAGTGATGTAAAGTGTTCAGTGGACACTCAAATGCTCCAAGTCTAAAATAACGCGTCGTCGTTCACTTTTTTTTGTGCACTATTTTAGTACCAGGCACACATTCATGTACATCTCCTTTTAAAGAACACATATTGACCATTATCAAAACAAATCATCACTGATTAATCTCATCTATATTCAAAAAAGGTGATAATATAAACCATCAATGTTTCATCAACCATTTTACAGGCTGTGCGCCCCACCCAACCACAGAATTGTACGAAATCTGGTCCAGTTAAATTCAAAGACCTATTTCGGGCTCTTTCCAACTGTGCCATTTTCTCCTGGATCCTCCCAGGCTTTGGAAGAGGGATAAAAATTGTACGTTCTGCTAATCTGATAAAATGCACCTCTGCTAATCTGAATTGGAAAAAAAACTTCAGTCCGCCCATTTTAACGTGATGTACCAATGTTAGTGAAATAAATCCATTTCAAATTCTAATCACCCCAAATTGGAAGTATTCTATGGGTGGAAGTCTCGACAACAGAGCATGAATCCTCCGTATTTGTACTTGATAAAACTCATGCAAGAACCAATGGAAACAAAATAGAGCTGTCAATAGAGGCCAGAGGGGGAAATAATTTCCATTTTCTTCCTTGTGGAAGTACCATGGAGTTGCGTATGGTATGTGCTTTGATGATGGCCATCAGCTCCTCCTGGTGGTCGGGACTGGTAAGCCAGCGTTGCCGCTCGAGAGGTAGTGATGCTACAGCTTGGTCTGAGGGCCAGAACATGGTGAAAGGTCTGTGTATGGGGAGCTCCAGGACAGGCAGGAGACCAGAGGCCTGGAACAGAACAATGAGGTTGTGAGGCGAGCTCATTCTCCGGCACATACGGTGCCATTTATCCTTCATTTAAGTATTTTTATCACTCAATATAAACAACAAATACAAAAGGAATATCAGTCACATTATTTGGAGGGATTCAAAGATTGATTGCAATATTCTTCCTATTTCCCTTTTTTAAACAATAAAATACTCTGTTAGTTGAAAAGTGTTTCACTTGTTTGCATTACCTCGACAAGTGAGTAGAACTTTGTGTATCCGTAAAATGCTGCTGCTTCAGTGAGATTCATCTGTAAAAACATCGAAGTTTTGTTTCTTGTGAATAGGGCGTATTTCATTTCCCCTTCTTTGATCACGACTTCTGACATTGAACATAAAGACCATTTATAAAATCACATTGTTTATAATAAATGTCTTATAATAAATAAAACCGTATAGGGACAAAATCAGATCAGCTTTGGATTAGAATATTGGTTTGTGATCAGGAGTCATATAAACTGGATTTTCAAAACGCATTGAATACTTGTATAAGGCACAAATGAAAACTGAATACCTTTTAATTCAATTGATCGAGACACATGTAAACCTGGCAGCGTAAATTGAGGTGTGAAAAACCATTTATACATGTTACTAACTCGATACGACTGAGACAAGACCAGCAGATGCATTTAGAAGCACATTGAAAATCCATGCTTGTATAAGAAATGTATGATTTTGAACCATAGAAAATAGAACAGTTTGAGCACACAACTTTTTCACCTTCATTTTTATCAGGTAAAAGAGGGCTTTAAGGAGGAGGGTAGCATGGTCTCTATGTGGCGCAACCTGCTAAACGAGTGTATTTTGTCCTCACGGTTTTGGCTTTGACCGGAGCCTTGCCCTGAAGCGTGTAGGGAGTAAGCAGAGTGTCTATGTGGTGGATGACTCCGTTTGCTGCGGTGTAGTCGCTTCGCACGATTCGAGACACATCATTGATCCACAGTGTGCCCTGCAACAAAAGTAGTATACATCTAAACAAATAGTGTCTCTGGTGCAATTCTACCTGCGTTGTTTGGTGCACACTGGGCTACGTGGAATTGTCTATGAGTTGATCCAAAGAAAAACCCTTTTTTTAGAGTGCCTGATATAGCATACACAATAGATAACGAGGAGAAAAAATCTTAATTCTAAGTGGTCATTATAATATGCCATGTGTTAAAGCTGTCGTTGTGCTAAGGCTTTTTCCTCAGTATCCCTCTGTCTCCTTTTCTCTGTCTAATTTGCAAGTGTTTTGTCAGAGGATCTATGGGAGTGTCTGGAGCAGCCAGCGGCAAACCCATCGCCGCCGGTGATGAGCTCGGGGACCAAACAATGGGATTTCAATCATCGTCGTCGACCAAGAGCAGGTGCACAGTGGGGACACCTGCTTTTGCACTATCGCTGCTCTCATCCACTGCCGTAGCAGGGTTTATCAAAAAACCATTAAACACACCATTTCATGCCTTAAGAGGAAACGGTTCAATGTCTGGATTTGTGACCTTGTGTTTTTGGGCGCCGGGTGTTTTTTTGCCATATGTCCGATCAGCAATCCTCAAAGCACAGCAGAGTTCAAGCCTGTGTGCTAGCTGCTCAAATGCCAAGATCTCTCTCAACAATTATAAAGTATAAAATAATTATGGAAAATAAAAAAACTTGCAAAAAAATAAAAAGTCAAAATAAAAACAAATAATAATACTAAAAAAATAATAATAAAACCTAAAGTAAATGGGCAGTCAACCCAAAACAAACAAACCATTTCCACATACACACACTAGCACCACAAACACACAAACACGATTCCACGTCCAACCCACACACACCCCCCCACCCCACACACACCACGTTGAGCTCAACACAAAACACCAACACAAACACAAAACAAACAACAAAACAAACATACCCGGTGTGAGTCATCTATGTCCATGGACAACTCACCCTTCCCCACCACACCGTCGACGAGATACTCCCCCCCACACCCCTACCCCACCCCGAGACCGGCTGAACACCCCCCGGGGACCCCCCCCTCACCCCAGGGGGGAAGAGTCCCCCCCGGCGGGGGGTGTGGTGACCACGTCCCGCCCCCCGGCGACCCCCCCCGCCTAGCGACCCGAGGACCCCCCCCCCGGTGGGCCCCCCCCACATGAGACCCCCCAGCGCCCCCCCCACCCCCCCGGTACACAACACCCCAGATATCCCGAACCCCCCCCCCCCCATCGTGGACGTACCGCGTTCAGACCCGTCACCCCACCCCCCGTACACTTGGGGACCCCACACCCCCCCCCCCCCCTGTAGCCCCCCCTCAACCCCCCCACACGCCCACTGTGTATGCGGGGGGCGGGGCCACCCCTCTTGTGACCCCCACCCCCCGCATCCTGCACCCCCCCCCCCGCTCACCCCCCCCCAGGTATAGGGGTACGGCGGTTCGGTCCCCCCCCCCGCCCACACTAACCACGGTTTGGACCCCCCCCCCCCGCCACCACCACCCCCCCCCCCGCCCGAGCCCCCCTAGATGGATGCCCCCCCCAATGGGAGCCGCCCCGGTGAGGAGTAGAGCCCCACCCACACCCCCCCACCCCCCGGCGGGCAACGGTTGAGGGATTGAGACAGGGAGCCGATACAACCCCTCGACCGGAACCCCCCGGTCCCCCCCGACCTACCCAGTTGTTTGTAGTGTGGTTGTTGTGTGTGTTTTATGTGTTAGAAGTGTTTATGTTGTTTGTAGTTGTGCCCCCACCCCCCCCCCCCCCACACACAAAACACCACACACACACCACGCGGTCACCCCACCCCCCCCCCCCCCCCCCCCGCCACCACCCCCCCCCCCTTCCCCGGGAAGCGGGGACCCCGGAAAGACACCCCCCAGTGACCCCCACCCCCCCCCCCCCCCCCAAGTGGGGACCCCCCCAGACAGGTACCCCCCCCACCAGCGCGACCCCCCCCCCCCCCCCCCCTGGGTCCCCCACCCAACCGGTGCGGGGAACGCGGAACCGCGACCCCCCCCCCCCCCCCCCGCCCCCCCCCCCCCCACCACCCACCCCCACCAGGGACCAAACCCCCGCCCCCCCCCGGGCCCCCGGGACCCCGACGACCCTCCCGCGGCCCCCCGGAGGGTTCTCACCCCAATTCCCGCCCCCCACCCCCCCCAGCACCCCCCCCTCCTTCTGTGGATAACCCACAGGTTCCCACCAGGGGGCCAGTGACCTTCCATGACCCGAAGACGATGGCGGGTACCTCCCGCCCCCCCCCCGGGACACCAACGGACACCAGTCCGGTACCCTGGAAATCCCCCCACCACCCAACCTACCCCACGAGAGGGGTCAATCAGGGTACCCCCACCCCCCACTCCCTCACCCCCCCATCACCCCGGGGACAACGAGACCCCCCCGGGGACTCGGGATCCCCCCCTCCGGTGCTGGTCCCCCCCCTCGATCGCAGCCCGCATATAACATAAAATAATATATATATATACTATAATATATATAATAATAATAGAACAAACCACACACACACCACACAACACCACACCTCCACCAAACCCCTTGTTAGGCTCCCCTGCAGGCCTACATGCGAACACACCCTACAACACACACAACAATCCACGCCCCACACACAATAAACAAAACATTTTGTGTGTTTGATTGTGTGTTTTGTTTGTTGTGTGTTTGTTTTTTGTGTTGTTTTTGAGAAACAAAAAAACAACACCAACCGTAGCCACCACCACACCCACACACACACCACACCTACCCAACCCCCCCCGGGCGAGCGTTTCCCGTATCACATATCCCGGAGACCCGCCCCCCCAGCGACCTAGGCCCCCCCCCCCCCCCTCAGACCACCCCACCCCCCGACCAAGAATCCGTTGAGGTCCCCCCCCCCCCCCCCCCTACCCCCTACAGGGACCCCCCCCCCTGACCATGACCCCACCCCACGACCCCCCACTGGTCGGTAGTCCCCCCCCCCCCGAGGCTTCCCCCAACCCACCTTCCCCCCCCCCCCCCCCCCCCCCCCCTTGCCCTTTGGATTTCGGGGTGGAGACCCCCTGGGTCCAGGCTGGAACCCCCCCCCGACCCCCGACACCGGTGGACAACCCCCCCAGACGTCTTAGAGCTTGAGTTATGATCCCCGAATTCCCCCCCCGGACCCTCCCCCCCGCCCCGGAGCCTCCCCCCCAAGACCCCCCCCCGACCCCGGGCTGACCCCCCCCCCGGCGCGGAGGACCCAAGGGACTCCCCAGCCCCCACACCACCACACCCACGTGTACCACCCCCTGTATTTATACCCCCCCCCCCCCCCCCCACCCCTTGGGCCCAAAGGAGGCAGGCGACACAAACACAAGGGTTTGGGGGGGGGGGGGGGGAGGGGGGGTTTGGGTGGGGGGGGGAGGGGGGGGGGGGAGTGATGTTTGTTGTGTAGGTGTATAAACACGCAAAAACAAACACAAAACAAAACAAAAAAAAAAAAAAAAAATAAAAAATAAAAAAAACTTCAACCCACCCCCCCCCCGTGCGCATACCCGCCCCCCCAGCTAACCCCCCCACTTGCTAGCAGGGAACCCCCACACACACACCACAACCCCAATACTCTGAACCGATGATAAGAAACCCCCCCCCCCCATAGGTAGGCCCCCCCCCCCACCCCCCCAAACACCAAAACCGGCGCCAACCCCCCACCCCCCGGGCGTCTTACGCAGATCCCCCATGTAATACCCCCCCCCCCCACGGTGGTACCCCCCACGGGGTTTACCCCCCGACCCCCCCCCCCCGTCCCCCCCCCCCCCCCCCACCGGACATGTACACCCCCAACCCCCCGGCCCGAACCCCCCCCCCCCCCCCCCCCCCCCCGACCCCCGGCCACCCCCTCGCCCCCTCCCGGGGAGGGTAACACAAGTGTAGTGTGTTGAGGTAGGGGTGGGGGGTGGTGTGAGGGGGGGGTGTGTGGTTTGGGGAATGAAGTGTGGGCCATCTTGAGGTCCCCCCACCACCCCCCCACAGACCCCCTCCCAGCACCTCCCCCCGCGCGAACTGTGACACTCAACCACAGGCTAATGAGTGCCCACCACACAACACACAAGATATCCACCCCCCCCCTCCCCCGACCCACCCCCGCGGGGGGAGGTCCCCCCCCAGCCCCCCCCCCCCCACACCCCACACACCACACCACACGAGGAGATCCCGGCTTGGGTCGCCCGCCTACTGGACGCCCCACACCCCACCCCCCCCCCCCCCCCCAAGCTGAAGTGAACCAGGTTGTGTGGGGGGGGGGACCGCCCCCCCCCCTTCCGGGGGGTCGCTCCCGGACCCGGGAAACGCCCTAGGGTCCGCTTGCCGCCCCCCCCCCCCCCCAACACAAATACACACACCCACTCCCCCCCCACCCTAAACCCACCCGATGGGGGGTATCAGGGGGCCCCCCCCCCATAACCCTCACCCCCTCGGTCCCAACCCCCAGACCACTATCCCCCGTACACCCGTAGAACCACCCCCCCCCCCGCCCGACCCCCAGTCCCGTTCCCCCCCCCGCCAACCCCCCCCCCCCCAACCCCCCTATTCCCCCCCCCCCCCACCCCCCCCCCCCACCCAGGGTTCCCTACCCCCCCCCTGGACGGCTATACCCACCCACCACCCCCACCCCACCCCCAACCGTCCCAACCCCCCCCAAGGCGGACCCCCCCCCCACCCCCCCCATACTTGAAGTAGGACACCGAGATCCACCCCTGGGAACCCCCCCCCCGAGGGCCCCATCTCCTGTAATGTCGCCCCCCACCCCCCCCCCTTCCCCCCACCCCCCACAACAAACAGTGGGGGTGGGTTGGGGGGGGGGTTGGGTTGTGTTGGGGTTGGTGTCCGGACCAACCCCCACCCCCCCCCCCCCGCCCCCCAAGTAGGCCCCGGAACCCCCCCCACCACGGGTTCCCCCAATCACCCCCACCCACCCCACTAGACCCCCACCCCCCCCACCCCACCCGCCCTCCCCCCCCTCCCCCCCCCCGGCTGGTCCCCCCCGACCCCCCCGAATGTGAGACCCCCCATTAGAGGTGTCAGGGGAAACACCGCCCCCCCCACCCACCCCCGATGAGGCACGGAAGTCCCGATGGGATGTGGTTCCCCCCCTTATCCCCGAACTACCCCAGGACCAGGACCCGATACGACACACCCCCAACCCCCCCTGATTCCCCCCCCCACCCCCACCCCACCAGCAAATTGGGACATAGACCCCCCCCCCTATCCCTGCGGTGTGGACGTAGGGACCCCCGACCCCCCCAACCCCCCCAACCCCCCGCCCCCCCCACCCACACACCACACACCACCACCACCCACACGCGGGACTAGGGCGACCCCCCCCCGAAGGCCCCCCCACCACCCACACCCCCCCCCCCCCCCCCCCCCCCTAGAAGGGTCGAACCCCAGGAGTGCGACCCCCCAGCAGGGCCCCCCCACCACCCCCGACACCCCCTGAATTTTCCATGTTATAACCCCCCGAATATACTCCCCCCCAGGTTGGAGTGCCCCCCTTAGGTGACGGACTGTGGGCGACCCCCTGAGTACTGAACCCGGCAGTACCACTCCCCCCCTGAATCTGACTTGAATAGACACCCCCCACCCTATATATATATATTTATTAATATATATATAATATAAAATAAACACAACACACACCACACACCCACCCCCACCCCATAGCCCAACCCACACACAAAGGGGGGGGGGGGGGGGGTGTGAGGGGGGGGGACAAAAAAACACGCACACCACACCATAGCACCTTCATTACGAGTTCCCCCGCTTCAGTGAGTCCGATCCCCCCCAACCCCCCCCCCCCCCCCCCCCCCCCCCCACAACTGGGAGCCAACCAAACACCCCCCCCCCCCCCGACCCCCGACACTCGCAAAGACCACCCCCTGACCCCCGTGGACCCCCCGGTAGACCCCCCCCCACCCCCCCCCCCCCCCCCCCCCGCGAACAAGACCCCACAGTGAGAGCCGGTGGATACCCCCGGCGTACCCTGTGGACCTGAGTTTAACCAACCGATAACACCCATCCCCACCCCAGTGACCCCCCCAAGGGGAGGTCCCCCACCGAGATCGCCCCCCCCCCCCCGGTAAGGGCCCCCCCCCCCCGTACCCTCGCTGAGGAGCCCCTCGGGACCCCCCCCCACCCGGAAGGGGAGACCCCCACCACCCCAACCACCCCCCCGTGTAGTCCTACCCCACTCCTGGA